GGTCGTGGACAAAACCACGGCGACTGACAACTCGACAACTGCAGTAGTTGACGACGACTTGGCTCCGACTGAATCCAGCATCGACGTCGCCGACGAGGCCGAGACCCACAAAGCGGCGCTGCCGTCGGACGTTGCTACGCCACTGCAAACGGATGAAGCCACCAAGATCGCGACTCCGGTGCAAGAAGCGCCAGCCGTCGAGGCCGTCCAAAATACGGTTGAAGAAGCGCCGGCCACCGACGTCGTCCACGATGCGGTTGAAGCAGCGCCTGCACCCGGAGCCGTCCAACTTGCGGTCGAAGAAGCACCAGTTGCTATAGCCGTACAAGACGTGGTCGACGAAGCGCCGGCTGCCAAAGCTGTCCAAGATGTTGCTCCGGTCGAAGATGCACCAGCTCCCAAAGCCGTCCAAGATGCGACTCTTGCCGACGTGTCGCCACCGGCAGACGCTGTCACGACGGCGCCAGCGGTCGTGGACAAAACCACGGCGACTGAAAACTTGTCAACGAATGAGATTACGAAGCCGAAGAATGGAGGATCATGATAGCTCATTGCGGTTGACGAAGCATTTTTAGAGTAGAGACTAATTATTTAATGGATTGTGCATGTTGCATACGACAATGTTTGTGTCATACTAGTACGTGACATTATGAACTCCATGGCATGGGTGGCGTTGTCGGTCACTGCATTTTGAAGCCAAGAAAGAGGTTGAGCGGCGTCGAAGTCGGCGCCGCCGCCGCCATGTGTCGTTTCGCGTCAAACGGTGCGCCAAAGCACTGCATCGCCGACGCTCGGATGCGATCCTCAATCTGAAAGTCAATTTCTGACGGCAGCTCGCGAGGTGGCGCGACGGCCAACGACTGTTTCCACTTGTCGTCGATTTGTTTCTTGACTTTTCGCGGCTTGACGGGCGGCGGCGCGTCGACGTCGACGAGTGCATCGTAGTCGTAGCGCCAGGGGCCCTTGGCTGGCGCGGTCTGCGCCACGAGCTCTCTCCGCTCGTCGTCGTCCAGCTCGATGGTCCTCTCGTCATAGCGCTGTTCCTGCACACTTTGGATCTGTGCTTCGAGGCGTCGCGTCGAGTGCATCGCGCTGGCGACGACCGGCGCGGCCGCCGTGCTGTGGGCCATCTGCACGGCCTTGTTCGGGTTCAGGAAAGCATGGTCGAGACGCACGGGTGGCCTCTGTGTCGATGGGTGCTTGGGCGCGGGCCACTGCATCGGCGGCGCGCGCGGCTGCAGCTCGACCTCATCGTCGTCGTCGCTGTTCATGGCCATTCGGTCGAACTCGATCGCCATCACGGTAAACACATCGTGTCTCGGTATAACTCAATCTAACACGCGTTAAACAGCCCACGCACAGCGCCAAGACAGTGTATTGGAATTTGAGTCTGCTGTCGTCGTCGTCTACTTGTCGCTGCCATACAAAAACACGACGCTAAAGACGAGGACGCCGGCCATCATCGAGAACGCAGACGCGTAGTAGGGAAAGGCCGCGGGGATGAAGCGCTCGTACTCGTCGTGCTTGTACGGACGCAGCGACACTTGGGTCGTAAAGTGCAGCGTCGAGAACCCGATCCGGCGGTACATGACGCGGAACTGGAAGATGCCATAGACGTCCGGCGCGGTAAACGTGACGCTGAAGCGGCCGTTGCCGTTGTGCGTCATCGTCTTGCGCACGTGCGGGTCGAGCATGACAAACTCGAGCTGGACGTCGTCGGCCGCGAACGGCGCCCACGCGCCGTGCTTGAGCTCGGCCACGTCAAACGAGTACGTCAAGTTGTCCTTGATGCGGTACACGAGCGAGTCGCGAGCGACCTCGGCGTCCGGGTACAGCGTCAGCGGCTGGTCCGGGCGCTCGACTTCGTTGAGCATCTTGTCCGGGAGCGACCCGTCTTCGCGCGCGTGGTGGACGTTCGAGACGCGCAAGACACCGCGCTCGCCGAGGCCCCAAGCGCTCACGGCGGCGACAAAGGCGCCGTTGCCGTACTTGTCCGAGGTCACGTACGCGTTGCTAAAGACGTCGAGCGACCCGGTAAAGATTAACCGCGCATTGTTGCGGGCTTGGATGGCCGTGACGAGGCCGACGTTGGAGCCAATGACCACTTCGTGCGACTCGCGGATCTCCTTGGTGGGCGCGGCCGAGTACGCAGTCGGCTCGGCCGACAAGACCGTAAAGCCGAGGATGTTGGAGGGTTCGAGCGTCATGCCAATGCCATTGTAGACAATCGGCTTCTTCGCCTTGAGGACGGTGTCGCTGACGACAATGCTCGAGTCAATCCACTTGGTCGTCGCGATGAGCGAGTGGTACGTGTCCGCCGGGTCCGCAAGGTGATGGACGTGGTCCATGACGATCGTACCCTTCTTCTCAAACTCGACGCCCGACTCGAGCGCAAACTGACGCAGCATCTTGGAGAGGCGGATGCTGCCACCGACGATGACGTTGCCGCCGTCTTCCACAAAGGCCAAAAGCGCATCCTTCCCGAGCGTCGTGGCGCCAAGCGTCTTGAGCGTCGGCGAGAGGATCACAAGGTTGTCGTAGAGCGCGTCGCCGTACTTTTGAGCGCAAAGCCAGCACTCTTCTCGTTAAAGTAGCTCAGCTCGTGGCCGCGGGCCGAGAGCTGCGACAGGAAGGCCGAGGCTTCATTCGTCTCGGGCGTCTCGGCCTCATCGAGGAAGACAGCCGTGCGTGCGGCCATCGCGACGCTGAGGAGCGCAGCGACCATGGCCAGGACGAGCACCTGGCGGGACGACATGGTTTCGACACGTCACAAGCAACTTGTTTGTGGCTCAAACTCCGCAGCGAGCCGATCGGGTCGATCCTATACAAACGCCAAGTTCTTTCATTTAAAGACGCCATTTTATTCAAGCTTGTCCTTTGTATGTAAACCACCATCGTTTTTTATCCAGCGTCCACGTCAGCGCCGCCGTGCTATTTTTGTCCAGGACAAAATAGGTTTGTCCCGGACAAACATGGCCACCACCTTGACCAGCTCACGACGGTCAGCAGTCCAACGACGGTGACGGCCATCTCCGTGGCGGCTCACGACGCATTACAGTGCTGGTGAGATACCGTGCTACTGTGCTACAAGCTATCAAAGGCACACCAACAATAGGCGGTGCACAAGGTTGCTAGATACCGGAGAAAGTGATTTTACCGGTAAAAGGTAGAGGGCACAAGAAACCTCCTCGAGACACCAGCTGCCAGCCCACTGGCGATGCATCGCGTGGACAAGCAGGTCCTTTGCACCACGAGCTACCATCAGAGCTACATTGTACCATTACCGAGTGCGACTTGACCAAAGCGTGGGATGCACTATATATGCTACACTATGTCGACCGGTCAACTCCAAGTTGTTGGTCAACTTGGCACCAACTTGAGCAGGACGAATTGGTTGCAAGGTAAACACGGGTTGATATTGTACACGGCGCAGCAAGTTGGCGCCATAAATATGGGATGTCCTCACGCGTCGGTGGGCGTGGTCGATGCGGTCGACGCGGACGAGTCGAGCGACGGGCGGTGCAGCATCGCGGCGCGCTTGACGACGAGGTCGGTGTGGAAGCTCGCCCAGCGCGCTTGGAGAAGCGCTTGCCGCTTGGCCGGGAGCGGCAGCACGTGCACGAGAAAATCGGTAATGTACGCGGCGCCGACCGGTCGGAAGAGGCGCTCGAGGAACGTGTAAAAGGTCGTGCCTGGCATCGACGTCGTCCCATACTTCTTGGACGTGTACTGGAACGACTGGAACCGCTTGGGGTTTTGGTCGCACGCGTCCCAGACCGCGTCGAGAATCGCTTGCTGGAGCTGGTCGGCGTCCGTCTCGATGACCGAGATCGCGTTCGAGGCTATGACGTGCGAGATGCTGCGCGCCATGGCGTCGTCCATGTACCGCCACTCACTCAGCGAGAGCGGCTTGGCCGTCGGTCGTACGGCCACGTCTTGGAACGGGCGCGCGACCACATACTGTCCGTGGACGTCAAGCGACGTGGGCACCATGTAGCCCCAAATGAGGTGCCGCTTCTCGGTGAGTAAGGTTGGCACACTCTCCTTCCACGGCGTCATCGTGATCATAGTCGACTTGTGGTCGTTGGTCACGAGCGTGATCGTGACGTTGAAGAGCGAGCAGAGCGTCTTGAGCGCAATCGTGCCGACACGTCCGTACTGCCGCCGCTTGCACCGGTGAAACACCTTCTTGACGTCAATGACACTCATGCGCACTTGGGCCGCGATCGCCTCGGCGTGCAGTAAGCCAAAGTTGGTCATATAAAGACGGATCTTCTCGGCCGCCGCGATCGCCGGCGTCGCACCTGTAAACGACGCCCGGTGCGTGAGCAAGCTCGACGACGCAAACTCCATCTCGATATCGTCCGGCAAGTAGAGCTCGGTGACGAGGCACATGTACGCACTGCGCTCGACGTCGTCCGAGAGCTCGGGCGGTTGCGCCATGAGCTTCTTCATGGCGAGAACGACGACGAGGCCCGCGAGGCTCTGCTCGAGCGACCGAAAGTGGCACTGGCAGCCATACGTCGAGCAGAGCAAAATACCGCGGTTGGCATCGTCGAGCAAATGCGCTTCTAGCACGTCGAGCTTGCCCTTCTCGACGGTGGCGAGTGACGGGTTCCACACTGTCACCTTGAGGTGGGACCCGAACCCGACGTCAAAGTTGCTAAAGTACCGCAGAAACGGCGGCGCCCGGACGTCCAGAAAGTGCAAAAGGCGCAGCGGCGTGTTCACAACGTCCTGCAAGTAGGCTTGGAGCTCGGTTTGGCGCTTGGCCATGAACGCTTTCGTCCGGTGCTGGAACAGCCAGCGACGCGTGCGGTGCGTCTTGGGCGGCAAGATGTGGTTCATCGGGTGGTCCGCGCCCGGCAGCGGCTTGGAGGTTGTCTGCAGCCACCACAGCCACGTGCGCGTCGGAATCGAGGTCGTCGCCGTGTCGGCGCTGGCTGTCGGCACCTTGATCGTGCGCAGTTGGCAGTCGAGCGACCGAAACTCATCGAACGACCGCCACGTGCCCCAGTGGGACGCGAACGCGACGTGCGGGTACTGCCGGCACGCAAACACAATGTCGGTCGCAATGTAGTACTCTGGGTGCACCATGATGCTCTCGTCGTACCGGAACGCACGCACGTGCATGACGCACTTGTGGATCGTCGTCACGTCGTGGAGCGTCACTTGAATTTGCTGGTTGTTGCTCGGGCGGAACCGCCGCGCCGACGACGACTGGTGCGCCGCCGATGCCGACGACGCCGGTGGCTTGATGCGCATCGGCGAGCCCATGTCGTGTTGGAAGGTCCTCGAATACACGATGTGAAGAGGCAGTTCGGTCTGCCCCAACTCTACATAGCTCGAAGCGCTCGCAGCCGTTGAAACCAGCTGCGAGACATCGTCTCCGTCCCGGCGACTCGGCGCGAATAGCACGTGTCCCATCGATGTACTAGTAGTATATATAGGTCGTCGTCATGAGCACCGAAAACCGAAATGTTGGACCATAGCAAAGTGGTTTCGCATCACTAGCGTGCTCGAGTCGCGATACCATGCAGCCTTGCAGTTCACCCTATTCCCGGAGCTCTGACGTGTTATCTCGCGGGTGCGGGCGGTGAAGGTGCTTGGGTTGGCACTGGTGTCTCGAAAGATGTCACCGCCATGGGGCTCGGGTTGTCTCGTGGACGACCACTGCCCTTCGAGTCGGCGCCGACATTGATGGTCGCTACGATTCCATGGCCGCAGCTGGCGCATTACTCGCTGCGTGCTCGTGTTGCGCGCCTGTTCCGCGGCTCCTGCACTACGTAAACACGGCACCGAAAATGACAAGGTGTGCTTTGTACTCTAACATAATATTACTATATTTATTTCGGGGACCTTACAGCACCACGTAGCTGTCCGAGTAGCTCATGTCGTCGTCCTGCGGTAATGTCCAGCTCGTTTGGCCGCACGACTCGTTGTAGTAGTACATCTTGCCCGTGACCGTCGACTGCACGGCGGCCCACCCGTTTCCGTTCGGGGCCGCCGCGTCCGGGTTGCGCTCAAAACTGTCGGCCTTGAGAAAGCTCACAAAGCCCTCGCGCGACGAGTCGGTGGGCGGCACGTCGACGGTCTCGACGAGCTTGGCGTCGATCGCCTTGGTGCTCTCGCGGACACTCTCCATGTTGCTCTGGATCATGTAGAGCTCCTGGTTGATCTTGGAAAGGGCATTCGTGAGGCGTTCTTCGTGCTGCGCCGAGATCGACGGTTCTTCCGGGACAGGCACCTCGGTGGTCGACTGCCGTATGTTCTCGTGGTGGCCAATGTCTTGGATCTTCTCCGTCACCTCTTGGTTGCGCATGTGCAGGTCGACCGTCGACTCCTTCACGGTCGAAATGTCGCGCGTGATCGCGTCCATGTCCGCGTTGAGCTTCATGACGAGCGTCATGCGCTGCAACGACTCGTCCTCGTCATTGTCGACGTTGACCGTCGACCGCATCGACGACCGATCCTTCTCGAGATCGTCGTAATGGAACGCAAAGCTCTCGCGGACATAGTTGACGTCGTCAAAGTTGGCCTTGGCGAGGTCCATGAGCGACGACGGCGACTTGATCGGCGGCGCAAGGTCGTCGAGCGAGATCTCTTCCTCGTGCAGCGGCGGCTGCTCTGCGTCGTCGTATGCGTCCACGTCGAGCTCGCTAATGCGCTCCGACATGCGCTCCGACATGCGCTCCGAGTAGCGCTCGGTAAAGACGTCTGAAACGGACGAGAGGTCGCTGAGACGGTCCGAGTCGCCGTCCCCATTGTCATCCGATGTCGGCGCCGTCTGGACGATGGAGAAATCCATGCCCGCCATGGCCATGTCAACAAACTGTTCGGGCTCGAGCGACGACCGGCGCTGCGACGGTGTCGACGGATTGGTTGGCGTCGTCGTCGTCGTCGTCGGTGGCAACATGACCTTGGGCGGCTCGACAATGCTAATGTGCTGCATGTCTTCGATCGAGATGCGAGGAATCGTCGGTGGCCGCGACGGATCGATGCTTTGCCGCGACGACGACGAGTTGGATGTGATCGACATGGTGCGGGGGTGCCGTTGCTGTTCATGGACGCAGCGAGCATCCGGTGCTCCATCATGCTCGGACGCGAGTCTTGGCTCGCACGCAGCAGTGCATCTACAACCGAATCATGAGCCTTGCAGTGCGAAAAACACTAGGCTTCGTACTTGGATCGGTCGGCGACGTCGAGTTGTGTGTCGGCGGCATCTCCGAGTGGCTGCGCCGGTAGTGTGTCGGCGTGCTAAACGGTGCACTTGTCGTCGGGCCAAACGACGACTGGTACTGCAACTCCCGCGCCGACGACGACGACCAGTCCGACGAGTTGCTCGACCGGTCGATCGTCGAGTACTTTTCCGAGACACGGGTGGTCGCAAAGGAGAAGTTGCCCGCCTGCGAGTCCCGAAAGCTCGAGTCCCGAAAGCTCGAGTCCCGGAAGGTCGAGTCCCGGAAGGTCGAATCGCGGAATTGAATCGACTCGCGCGAGTTGGAGCCCGAGCCCGAGAGCCGCCCGATCGACGACGGCAACGAGTTGGTGCGCGCCGAGAGGTTGCAGCGGCCGCAGACGCGGATCTTGGCCTTCTCGCGCGTCCCGACCTGCTGGTTCATGCTGCACTGCGAGCAAATGACGTCGCCGCACGCGCGGCAATTGTACTTTTTCCGCACGAGCGAAAACTGGCGCGTGCAGAGCGAGCAAAACGACCGCTTGCTCGTTGGCACAAACTCGTGCGGCTGGATCCACTTGAGCGTGTTCATGCGCGACTGGTCGAAATGGTCGCGCAGCGCAGCGCCGCGGAGGCCCGCGAGTTCCGACATCTTGTTGGTCACGTACATGGGCAGCTTGCCGTTAAAGTCACCGAGCACCATGGACCGCAATTCGACCTGAAAGTCCGAGAGCGTCTTGGGCGACGAAGCATTCCGGCTTGCGCTGTCGCTGCTGCGAAACGTATGCAGCATCGTGGTCGTCGCCCGCACAAACTTGTTGGTGCCGTCGACCGACCGCAGCGACTCGAGGTCGATCGACTTGGAGAGCCGGTACCCGATGCGGTGGCCTTCTTCATTGACAAACGAGTCGACAATCTAGCAGACAGGCCATGACCCCAGCCGCATCGAGAAAGGGGCGTGTACCTCGAGGTAGATGTAGTCGCGCGGCTTGGTGGGCGGCGCGACCGACTTCATGCAATGCCACTTGATGCACACGTAGCGGCCATTGGCGTCACGTGGGCACAGCACATGCAGGATCGCGCCATCGAGGAACTCGGCGGGATTGACCGCGAGCTCGCGCTCGTGGAAGTCGCGGGTTGTCTCGGTCGTCAAGTGGTCGAGCATCTCGTCAAAGGACGCGTTGACGAGGCAGACGCTGCGCACAGCGAGCGCGTGGTTGGACATCGAGTTCATGTCGTCGGCGGCGCGCGAGACGACGACGCCGTCCTTCTGCTTGAGCGGCTGCCACCGGATCGCGCCAAAGTCATTGCAGAGCAGGAGTGCTTCGTCGACGGCCGCGTCAATGTGGGATATGAAGAACTTGGCTTCCATCGGGTCGAGGGGCGGGAGGCGCGAGAGCGCGTCCGCCAAGGACGGACCACTCGACATGGCTTGGGTCATGCCAACCGGTCCGAAGAAGAGCACAAGAGGCGAACTGGTTGGCATCCATCATACCGGTATAGTCAGTACGTGCAGTGGGCTTTATTGCGTTTTATTTAATACTGGCAGGGTAATATTAATATGAATACGACGGGGTCGCATTAAAATACGCGAGCTTTTTCTACAAGTATCAATGCATCGTCGCCTTGCTTGTGAGTAACGCGATCGTATTAAAATACATTGGGATATTAATATACAGTCGCCCTACTTTACACGCCCAAAAACAGCAGGACGCCCTACAAACCAGGCGCCCGAGCCTCTTCCGTCACTATCCGGACGACGGTGGCACGAGCGTCATCGATCGACGAGGATGGTAATACCAGGGTCGAGGCCGACGCCAGGACGAGGACCGATGGGTGCTGTAGTGTAGGCGGCGTCTCGGATCCTCGAACCGCACGAGAAGTAGCCGGTCAGAGCGGGATGCGTGCGACGTCGTGATTGGCTGAAATGGTATCCGGTTCACCAATGAAACGCGTAGTATCAAGATGGCGCGATGTCTGCATTGCGTTCTGCACCGCCAAAACGGCAACTGGAATCACACCTGTCGCACGCCGACGCTCGTCGTGTTGCGGCCCGAGGCGTTTATACCGGAAGGAATTTGTAAAACAATGATGGCTTGTTGTAGCAAGACGATGTCTTCGCTACCGAGACCTGGAGCCCAACGCACTGTAAAATATCATTGTCGGCACAGAAGATTCCGACAGATCTGTGTCCGACTGCTACCGGCGCGTTGCCCGAAAGCGTCCGGCTTTCGAACGCGCGACACGGCTCTTTGAGCTTGATTTCGTGATCGCCAAGCTTGCTTCAACGCCACTTGATGCAACGTCGCCAGATATTAGCCACACTGTGCGCAAGGGCACTCTTGTCAGCCGATTGCGAACCTATTTCCACGTCATCCAGGACGCAAGTCGATGGCCTCGTGATGGACAGAATCATGTCGATCCTTCACCAGCCTTGTATAGTGCGAGGATATGTGGTCGGCGAGTTGGTAGGCATCACAGCTAGTGTCTACGGAGGCGCACCCTCTGATTTCTGGACGAGTTTGGTCGAAAAGGGTAAACACCTCCTACAAACTATTAGTTGACCTTGAGCGGTTCACGCTCTTGGATGATTCACGAGCCACGTCGCGGATCCAACGATTCGGCGTGTAAGCGAGGCATATCCACTTGCACGCTCGCAGGAAGTGGTGTGAACGCCTCAACATGATAGACAACCATTTGGACAACCTCATGGTCTCGACCCCAAGAAATGTAGAGCGCGAGCCGGAATGGGACTGTAGGGTCAGTGAACACAGATTTACATGCAGGGAAACTATTAATAAGAACGAGAAGCCTATAGGTACGGTGAGAGTAGTTAACCTCGTGTTTTCTTGGTCAGCTTTTGGTCAGTGGCTTTTCGTCGAGCTCTTTAATGTCAAATTTGCATTGGGGTAGCGTGTAATCTTTTAGTAGAGGTGGGTGTTTGATATCGGGGCAGATTTAAATCTAGTGGCGTGTACGCGCGGTGGCATAGTGTGGGGGTGCCGCTCAAATGTCGGTGTACGTGCTCATGTACAATGTGCGTTGATGTGAATGGGCCATTCACATGGCAAATGTGTGATGGATGCGTGCGCCATGTACCGCTACCGGCCGGAAACCACACTCCAGTGCAACCTCCGCTGCGCTACTAGTACGGTTAACCTGGTGGTTGTCCAAAGGGTGATTCTCTGTAGAGCTGCAGCAGCATCGACGTCATTTTTTTTGCTGGGCGGCGGAAACGGTGGTGTGGCTTGGTTGTGCTCTGTTTGAGAGCCTTCGCATAATTTCAGCACTTGGGTCCTATACTGCATAGCCGGACGCGTCTTGCATAGAGGCCACAACAATCTGCTGCTGCATCACACGAACATTGCAGGGCGAATGGCATCGAAACAACTATGTACTCGTTTTACCCGGCCCAGCCATTCTACCGGTATCGTAACGCGCTTCCATGACTTCGTCGCTCAGGCGCAGGCCGATGTACACATGCGCGCTTTTCCAGAAAAGGCAGCCGCATTGATCTTGCGCTGGTGCCATCGCCCGCGACGATCTTCCGTTTAAGCTCCTTGACTTCTTCGATCGCAGTCGCAGCTGCCACGGCGCTCGCAGCTTGGCGCTTCCACGACTCCCGCACGCGCTGTGCGCCCGACGCTGGCGTCCCCACCATGGCCGGATCTTCTGCCGTGAGTTTTCGCGCGCGAACCGCAATGCTGCAAAGCGAATATAACATCCAGATACGATCATAACATTGCAATCTAACATTCTATAACAAAGCGTTGCATCGAGGTCCTGCGCGATCGCGCACGCCCCATCGATATCGAATGCACGCACCACGCTCGTACATTGCGCTATCGTACACATTCTCCGACCGGCTATCGCGGATGCACTCGCTCCGGTCGCACATATCAAATTGCTAAGCAACACTTGAGCACACGGTTTCACGTTGATCTCCATCCGCGCCTCGTGGCTGCCACGTGCATGCCTCAACCGCACAAACCGACAATGATAGGACCCAGCGACGCCGGGTCGCCATAGTCGGCGCAAGACCCGGCAGCGCCACATGCACTCGCTGTGCTCGTGGCGTACTCTACCGCGCAAAAAAGTGCTTATTTAAAAAAAGTACTAGAGTACGACGTAGTAATAGATGGACTCGAAAGTATCCAAGTGGCTTCAAGTTTCAAGATGAACGGCTCTCGTTCAATTGCAATGTACCGTACTGTAGTACACCCGGTACACCCAGTACATATACTCCCTTTACGTCATCCAGCACCGTACAGAAAGGCAATGCGAGTACCGCAGAGCTGTGTCCACCACCCTGAAATGTGAAATCATTGTCAAACATTCTCTTGCACGGAGGAAGCTATCATCCCGCCAACTCCTCTTAATGCCGACGCAGGCCGACTCGTCCTAAAGCTCGACGCCAAGGCCATGCTTTGCAATGGTTTTTTGCGTAGCGTTGCATCTGTTGTGCTGGGCGCATCCACCGCTTCCACCGTGACACCTGGACGTTACCTTATGCGTTCTCTCAAGGAGCCTTTCTTGGCCTGCGCCGCCCAGCACCAGGATTTCAACTGCTGGGAAAGGCGTCCATGTCCCCTCTTGGTCAGCAACGCATTTAGCCTCACAGGAAGCATACGAGCTCATCCCACCATGGTAGTGTCAAAGCGCTGGCCACTGCAAGGATGCGCGTGGGCGTTTGTTGCCGGCCACAAATTGCCCCAGATGGGACAACTGCCAAGAGATGTGGAGCGCCAAATTCAAATTCAATGGATATCGCGCTTCAGATCACGCCACATCCTTGGTCAGCTGGCCGAATGTGCAAATGTGGTCGTGCATCCCACATCGTATCTTCAAAACACGTACGGTTAACCTTGTTGTTTATATTGATGTACGGTACTGTTGTCCATTCAAAACGTATGGCGCGCCACAGTGCGTAACTCGCGGACGCTCCGTCCACATCTAGCCAAGGTGCCCCTTTATGCCGTGGACTAGGATACTAAAATTGCATTATGCACAGGTATCCAGTCCCAAAGGTCTTCACTTGATACGTTTTCCCTTTCATACGAGGTAGAACAGCATCCCCAATAACAGAGTATTTTTTGTTAAAGGTTTTTGATGTCACCAAAGCGAATTCGCGCCCGGCTAGCAACCACTTTCGATTTCTTCCCCGAAGCCAGCCATGGAGCGGCAGAACAGCTTGCGGGAGCGGGCCGGCAGCGCGCGGCTCCGCGCGGGTAGCCACCGGGCGTCCATGCGCCAGCGGTCGTCGGCCGATATCGTCGCGGTCTCGACGGAGATGCGCCAGCGCATGGAGGCGCGCAAGCAGGCCAAGAAGGGCGGCAAGAAGGGCGGTGATGACCACCATGATGCTCGGCGCGAGCTCGTCATGACCGAGCACACGGTCAGCATCCCGGAGCTCTGCGCCGACCTCATGACCGACGACGAGGTGGGTATGTCGACCGACCACGTCGAGATGCGCAAGCAGAAGGAAGGCCTCAACATGCTCACACCGCCCAAGGAGGTCTCGGAGTGGGTCAAGCTCTTCCGCGAGCTCACGGGCTTCTTCTCGATCCTGCTCTTTGTCGGCGCGGCCGCGTGCTTTGGCTGCTACTTCCTCGCGTACGACATCACGCAGATCTACACGGCGACCGCGCTCTTCACGACGATCCTCGTCACGGGCTTTTTCTCGTACTTTCAGAACCGCAAGTCGTCCAACCTCATGGAGTCGTTCAAGAACATGATGCCCACGATGATCACCGTCGTGCGCGATGGCAAGTCGCAAAAGATCAACGCGTCGCAGCTCGTGCGCGGCGACATCGTGCTCCTCAAGGGCGGCGACAAGGTGCCCGCCGACATCCGCGTCGTCGAGTGCTCGGATGACTTTCTCGTCGACAACTCGTGCCTCACGGGCGAGTCGGAGCCGCTCAAGCGCGTGCCGCACTGCACGGACGAGAACCCGCTCGAGACAAAGAACCTCTGCTTCTTTGGCACGCTCATTCCCCAAGGCAACGGCAAGGGCATCGTCGTCAACATTGGCGACTCGACGGTCATGGGCCGCATCGCCAAGCTCGCGACCGCCACGGGCACGGAGCTGACCCCGATCGCGCGCGAGATCAACCACTTTGTGCACATCATCACGGGCGTCGCGGTCACGACCGGCGTCATCTTCTTCATTGTGGGCTTTATCAAGAAGCTCGAGTTTTCGACCAACCTCGCGTTTATGATTGGCATCATCGTCGCCAACGTGCCCGAAGGCCTCCTTGCGACCGTGACCGTGTGCCTCTCGCTCGCGGCGTCGCGCATGGCGAAGAAGAACATGCTCGTCAAGAACCTCGAGGGCGTCGAGACGCTCGGGTCCACGACGTGCATTTGCTCGGACAAGACGGGCACGCTCACGCAAAACATCATGACGGTCGCCAACGTGGTTTACGACAACAAGATTTTCGACGCCGAGTGCTCGCTCACGCCGACGCCCAGCTACAACGTCGCGGACGACAGCTTTGTCCGTCTCCAGCGCTGCGCGACGCTCTGCAACAATGCCGTTTTTGACGAAGAGTCCAAGTTTGAGACGATTGTGTCGGCCGACGGCGACGCCATCTCGCGTGGCGCGCCGCTTGTCTTCAAGGTCGGCGACAAGATCAACTGGGAGACGATTGGCGACGCGTCCGAGTCGGCCATGATCAAGTTTGTCCAGGACAAGCGCGACATTATGGAGTACCGCAAGGCGTGCCCCAAGGTCAAGGAGATTCCGTTCAACTCGAAAAACAAATACCAAGTCTCGATCCACAAGCTGGACGACGACGAGTCCAAGAACCTCTTGCTGGTCATGAAGGGTGCGCCCGAGCGCATCACGGCGCGTTGCGGCTCGGTCATGATCAACGGCCAGGAGCTTCCGATGACCCCCGAGCGCCTCGCCGAAATTGACGACCTCCAGCTCCAGCTCTCGAAGCGCGGTATGCGCGTGCTCGGCTTTGCGGAAAAGTCGCTCGACGTCGCGCGGTACCCGCACTCGTACGACTTTTCGACCGACAACCCCAACTTTCCCCTCGGCGAGAAGGACGTCGACTACGATATGATCCCGACGCCGTTCAAGAACGTCGAGGAGCCGCTGTGCTTTGTGGGCCTCATGGCGCTCATTGACCCGCCGCGCCCCGAGGTGCCGGGCGCCGTCGAGAAGTGCAAGACAGCCGGTATCCGCGTCATTATGGTCACGGGCGACCACCCCGTGACGGCCAAGGCCATTGCGCACAAGGTCGGCATCTTGTGGGGCCCGACGAAGGAAGACATTGAAGAGTCGAACGCGGCGGGCAACTTGTACGAAGACCCGAGCAGCGCGCGTGCAATCGTCGTGCCTGGCTGGACGATCTCGGTCGACACGCCGGAAGAAGAGTGGGACCGCATCCTCGACCACCCGCAGCTTGTGTTTGCCCGCACGTCGCCGCAGCAGAAGCTCATCATCGTCGAGAACTGCCAGCGCCGCAAGGAGATCGTGGCCGTGACCGGCGACGGCGTGAACGACTCGCCGGCGCTCAAGAAGGCCGACATTGGCGTCGCCATGGGCATCATGGGCTCGGAAGTCTCGAAGGAAGCGGCCGACATGATCCTCCTCGACGACAACTTTGCCTCGATCGTTTGCGGCGTCGAAGAAGGCCGCATCATCTTTGACAACCTCAAAAAGTCGATTGCGTATGCGCTGGCGGCCAACATTCCCGAGCTCGTCCCGGTCTTGCTCAACGTCATCATCAACGTGCCGCTGCCGCTCACGGCGCTGCTCATGATTGCGATCTGCCTCGGCACGGACATGGTGCCGGCCATCTCGATGGCGTACGAAGGCGCCGAGAACGATATCATGCTCCGCCCGCCGCGCAACGCCGCGGTCGACCGCCTCGTCACGAAGAAACTCATCACGTTCTCGTACCTCATGATGGGCATCATCGAGGCGACGGCCGGCATGTTCTGCTACTTTACGGTCATGAACAGCTTTGGCTACTCGCCCAAGGTGCTTCCGGGTCTCGGCGGCGCTTACTATGGCCGCCACGTCTTGTGGTGCAAGACCGACGGCGGCGTCTACTGCTCGGCCGGTGGCAAGTCGCTCGACACGCCGCTCGGTGCGTTTGGCCCCGATGCCAAGTGCGGTCTCATGTACAACGCGACGATCCCGACCGGCGGCAACATTTTTGACGCGCAGATTTTCTGGGACCCCAAGGAGGATGGTACGCTTGTTGACTGCCAGTATGCAGTCGGGAACTTTGCCGGCAGCGACTCGAAGCCCGACAACTTTGACAAGTTCAACCCGACCACGTACGGCTCGTTTACCAACAAGAACGCGGTCCCGACGTATCAGTCGATGGCGGCGGCCACCGCGGCGGGCTACCACCCGTACACACCGATGAAGGCGCGTCGGTCGAGCTTCTTCAAGAAGACGTACCTCGAGTACGACGTGACGAGCTCGGACGTTGTGGGTCTCGGCGGCGCGACCCCCGAGCTCATGGCGAGCTACCAACCGTTTGGCGTCTGGGCCGCAACGTCGACCGACACGGACGGCGGTCTCACCAGCTCGGACTACGTCGACAACTTCAAGGACCAGCTCGTGGCGATCGTCTCGGCCAACGGCACGGCGAGCGCGACGACGGCGCCGATGGGCGACCAAAAGTACAGCAAGGCCACGTACGTCCGCCAGGTCAAGAACGCGGACGGGTCGGTGACGTGCTCGGGCGTCGCGTGCCTGCTCGACTTTGCCGCCGGCTTTTCGTACACGGATGCGAGCGGCAAGACGTACTCGAACGTGCTCTCGCGCGTCATGCAGTCGGAGGCACTCGCGATTGCCCAGACCGCGTACTTTGTCGCGGTCATCATGAGCCAGTGGGGCAACCTGCTCATTTGCAAGACGCGGTACCTCTCGCTCTTTACGCAAGGCATGCACAACGACGTGATGTTTATGGGCCTCATGTTTGAGACGCTCCTCGGCGCGGTCATGAGCTACTCGGGCTTCTTCAACACGATCTTCTCGACGGGCTCGATGCGCCTCACGCACTGGTTCTGCGGCATGCCGTTCACGCTGCTCATCTTTTCGGTCGACGAGATGCGCAAATACATGCTGCGCGAGACGTCGGTCACGACCGTTGACCCGGACACGGGTCGCATGGTGCGCACGCCCGGCTGGATCGAACGCAACACGTACTACTAAGACACACACCAATAGATGATTCCCTTTGCTTATGTACATTCGTGTCCATGCAGCGTTAGGCGTCTGGGTCCTCGGCCGGTGACGGGTCCACGAGAACGTCGGGCTGCTCCTGCAAGTTGGTAAACTTGAGCTTGGCGTCATTGTCGCCGTCGAGCGCGACGCCAAAGTCGACCTGGAGCGGCTTGGGCAACTGCACTTGGTGGTCGGCGCCAAACTTGGCCTTGAGGCCATGGCCAACATAGACGTTGAGAAACTTCTTGCCGACGCCGAGCGCCACGGCGCCGGGCCACACGAGCGACTTGACGACAGCGATCTCGCCGACGGCCGCCGAGACGGTCGTGGGGACGCGCTCGACGCGCCACGACGCCGGCTTGTCTTCCGAGAGCGCCCGCAGCGGCTCGACAAACTCTTCGCCGTCCCATGGCACCTCTTCCCCGTCGTCGTTGGTTTTCGGCGGCAGCGCAACGCTGCGCCCGTACTTGTCGTTGATCTCTTTCGTGTAGTGGACCCACGTCCCGAGCTCGGCGAGCTCGGCGGCAGACTTGGCCTCGGGCGCCTCCTCGGGTGGCTCAATCGCGCCATCTTCCGTCACGACAAAGTACCCTGCGGGGCACAAGACGGTCGACGACGAGATGCGTGCGATCTGCGCCCGTAGAAAGTTCTTCTCGGTCCCTGGAAACGGTGGGTGCCCGTGCACCTACCACCTTATCTTAGGTAACCTGCACGCCAAGCAGTCGCTGTCGTGTACCTTGCCATCGAGGTTGCTGCGCACAAAGCGACGGAGCGCGCGGGCGGCGAGGATCTGGTCGCGCCGCACATGCGGCAGCTGTGCCCACTCGTATGTGCCTACCGAAAATGATGCATGTGAACTCGGCATGCAGGAAGAGTGTACCATTGTCCTTCATGACCCAATACGTGTTTCGATTGAGGCCGTTCGCACCTTCTTCAGCGTCTTGATCTTCCGGCTCGTACGGTTCTGGGAGCTCGCCTTCTGCGACGTAGTAGTCGGTACCGACGCCAAGGATCTTGCCCCAGAAACGCAGCTTGACAGTCGTGTTGATTGTCGCGAGCTTCTGCAGGGCGAGCGAGAGGCGGAACGTCTCGCCGCGCGAGAAGCCGAGGCCCGCCCACTCAAACATGTTGGCCTCGTCCAAGAGGTCGGCGACGCCGGTCGGTGTCTCGGGCGCCACCTCTTCGTCGCCGTTCTGGATCTTGAGCAGGCTCGTCGCCGCCTTGCCCCATGCTTCTTGCTGCGCCTTCTACTCCAAAAGGCGAGTCAGACGCGACGCCATGGTTACATGCCACGTACTGCTTCGGCGTCAACAGCGTTCTCGGCGGCGATCGCCTCGGCCGGCCGCTTGAAGCGCTCTTGGCGCACGGTACACGAGAGGTGCTCGAAGGCGTTCACCGCGTCGTTGGGCCGCTCGACGAGCACACGCAGGAGCACATCCGAGAGGTGGTCGTACAGGTTCACGCCGCCGAGGTCGAGGCGCAGGAAGGCTTTCGCCTCCTCCAAGGTCAAGTTGGGGCCCGACATGGCCGATGCGAATCCAAGATTGCCGACGCTTCGCCGACCGACTTGTCGCGGATTGGCCAAAACTCAATCTTTCCGCCAACGAAGAGGCTAATCCCACGCAACTCAATATCCCGCCTCCGCCTTGCGCTACACAGCCATCGCCCTATAGCATCCCACTGACGTTATGTGCTCTTCATAGAACGCTTTCTATCACATAGGCTGCAAGGCGCAGACGAGGAGGCGGGTATTGATGCAAGGGACAACGTGCATGGTGGGGTAACGGGCGTGAAAATAGCCACGATAAATTATACGGACAGCTCAATTGTCCGGATAACGCAACTTCTGCGGCTCGCGCCAAAACGGGAATGAGCGAGAGCCCCGAGGCGAGCCAAGCGACCGACGGAGGCCGCGCGGCCCGGCGGATGGGGCGAACGAAGGAGTGGGAGTGCAGCATGTGCACCCTGCTGAACGGCTACCAGCGGAAGACGTGCGCGGCCTGCGGGGCGGCGCGACCGGACGCGCCGCTGGACGCGCTCTCCCAGCTCTCGCAGGCGCTGCCGACCAAGCCCAAGAAGCGACTACGCCTGAGCATGCCAGCGGCGCCTATGATGAGTCAGTTTGATCCACCAGCACCATCGTCGCCCGACCAGAAGCGACCGCGGACTCAAGCGCCGGGCCAGCGTCCCCTGCGAGGAAAAAAGGACAGTGGCTGGGGCGCTTCCCAGACAGCGGCGCCCGAGCCACACATGGGCGACGATGACGAAGAGAAACGACCGCCACCGACGCAGCTACAAGCCTCACCAGCGCCGCCAAGCCTCAAAGTGCCCGCCCGGGCGACGAAGAAGGCCGGACTGCTTCGGCCACGGTCGTTAGTCCGGCCCAAAGACGAGCTCGTACCGCAGACACCACCACAAAACGACATGGATGAAGCACCTACAGATGGAAACGTGCCTGTGGCTTCGATCGAGCAGCCACGACCGCTCGGCAGCTTCTTTTTCGGGGCCAAGTCGATTGCGGCGTTTCCGAGGCTGCAGAGGACAGTAGCGCGACATAACGAGACGCCAGCGTCGGCTGCCGCAGCGCCCTCGAGCCTTCCGGCGTTGACACAGTCGAACGGTCCTCACACGGCCGCGGACTTGATGGGTCGTTGGATGACAGCCCCGCGCAAGCCCAAGCCGCCGCCTGTCGTCGAGGCGCCACGACCCGAGCCGGTGCAACCAGATCCAGAGGTACCCGACTTGCCCGACTCGGCACAGCGAGACGAAGCACGGGCACACGAGGTGCCACCCGAGCCATTGCCGTCGCCAAGAACGCCGCCATTGGTCCAGGAACCCCCATCGGCCGCCGATCTCGACTACGATCATGGGCTGGACCTGACGCCGCCGGACGATGCGTCTGACGTCCCGGAGCCTGCATCTGCCGTCGTCAAGAGTGAGCGACCATTTGCGGCGCCTGCGCTGAGCACGGACGATGGCGAGGCACCGTGCTTTCAGCTGCTCGATTTCGCAAACATGCCTGCTGCGCCGGTTGCAGCGCCTACGTTCAACCTGCTGCCGCCCGAGAGTCCGCCTCAATTTAACATGCTGAGCATGGTGGCTCCACCGGCGCCCGAGTCGCCACCGGCCTTTGCTTTGCTTCCGCCGCAAGCCGCCGCGACGAGCCCTGTACCACTTGCCAGCGTCGTTCGAACGATACCGGGCGACGAGCTTGTGGCGTCCCCGCGGCGGCTTCCCGTGACGAGCCACGCGTCGTACGAGACGTCTCCCGAATCACCGCCTCGCTATCGTCGACCAACAACTCCGGTGGAGCGCCCCGTCGTAGCCTCGCCAGCGCGGGCTCGGGTGTCCTTGACCGACAACGTGGCCGTGACGCCGCCTCGTAGCGCTCGTCGGTCGTTTTTCCAAGGCGACACGGGTGTCGACGCCGACAACGACGAGATCGACTCGCCCGTTCTTGCCTTGTCGGGTCGCAAGGCAGGACGACCGTCGCCGTTTGCAAAAATGCGCCAAGTGGGACTGCTCGACGACTCGAGCGACGACGACGACGACGACGACAAGGATGTCGTTGTCGTACCCCGACGCCTCCGCAAGCCACTGGCCTACGAGTCCCGAACAAGCCCCAGTCCGCGGAGAAGCCCCGTGCGACGTGCCCCAGTGTTTCGAAGCAACTCGCTCGAAAGTCCCATCCGAGCACACGGCCTATCGCCAAGAAGTAGCCCGATCCGTCCTCGGCGGCTGCCTTCGTCGCCGAGCAGTTTGCCGAGCAGCCCCGTTCGTCACGGGTGGGAGTGCGACCAGTGCACGTACGTCAACGAAAACCCCAACGGTCTGGCGTGCGCCATGTGTGCCGCACCGAGAAAGGTCGCGACGGACGGACGCGATGACGTGCCCTGGACGTGCAACATTTGCACCAACGTCGAAGTCAAGGATCCGCGCAAGTGCACGCTCTGCGATACGTCCCGAGGTACTGGCTGCGTGTATCCATAATGCCTCTCAGCGTCGTATTTGGCTAGAGAACGACGGGTCGTCGCAAGTGTTTTTGCGGTACACTGCCACGTTCATAGGACCAACAATCCATGCGTCTTGTGTGTAGCGACGTCGACGACGACGGCGAAGGCATGTTCCACTGTGGCGGTGACTCGAACGACGAGGCTGCTGACGTTGTCGACTTGACCAAGCCCCGCGCCGTGGCCAAATTTTACGACTCGGATTCGATCGAAGACGTCTCGGACAACGAGGTCGTCGCGATGCTGCCATCGGCCCGGGACATTCCGTCGGCGCTGCGCGAGTTCAAGCACTTTACACCCGTCGCGAGCCTGCAAGCGCGTCAAACCGCGAGCGATCCAGGCATCGACTACCTCAACATGTTTGGTGCCAACCGGTCCGTCGCATCGCCATTCGTCGCATTTTCTCATTGCTCCCGTCGTCGTAGCAACGGCAAAAACTACGGCGACCGTCGCATCAAGCGCCAACGCGAGTCCAAGAAGCGCGTGGAAGAGCAGCGGCGCAACCCGGATGCTGGCTTTGACGCGGGCAAGCCCTCGAAACGCGGCAAGAAGGGCGGCAAAGGCGCGCGCTACAGTAGCAAGTCCAAGAAGACGTCGCCCGTCGCCACCTTTCGCAGTACGCCGTCCCTGGATACACGGAGCGATGAGCGATGGAGAATGGTTCTAGGTGCCAAGTATGCAATGCCGGCGTCGTTTTCGCTGGCCAGTGCGGCGACCAAGTCGACCAAGTCGGGCAAGCGCAAAGCCTCCGCTGACGCGTGGCTGAGCCGGTCCGCTCCAACCTCGTCGGGACCTGTCGTGCTCTCCAACACGACGTTCGAGCCGCGTGGGAAGACCAAATCGATGCGTGTGGTCGATGGCGGCATGGATTTCGCCAACGTCGGGCCGCCCGCGCCGCGCCGGCCGTCCGGTCCTGTCGAGTTTCGTACGTCGGACCTCGCAACGTGGGAAGGCAAAGGCTCGCTGCATTTCGGCTAAGTTAAGGGTACTTGTCGTGGAGCGTAAAGCTGTCGATGGCCGTGCGCGAGACCTTGGACATGGTCACGAGCGCGAGGAGGCCGAGGCTCACAAGGGCGCTGATGACAAAGAGCACATCGAACCAGCAATAGTACACGTAGTAGTCGATCGGGCCGAGCACCGCATCGATATGGCGTCTACACAGCCATGGACAATATTCTCCATCATCCATTCGAAAAAGAGAGTCGGCTGTACTTGTGCTGCGTCGGGAGGTTCATGCGCATCATGACAAACGACGACACAAAGTACATGCCCATGAGCTCGGCGAGGAAGAGCACGACCGAGTTGTTGGAGACACTGCTCGAGAAGGTTCGAAACACCTACGTAGGAGAAAATGCTGCTGGCATCTTGCACTCGTCGCTTGTACCTTGAGGAGCATGAGAAGAAAGCCGCGGGTCTGGGTGAAGACGAGGATGCCCACGAGCGTCAGCGACGAAATGTCCGAGATGAACCGGACATTGATCTACGGGTTACCTTATCGCAAGAGGATAATGGTAAAGAGTACCCAGGACGCGAGCGTCGGCCAGAGGTACAAGATTTTCTCCATCGCGTTCGTGATCGGGTCCTTGTCCCGGTCGCGGTTGAAGACGACGTTGACGGTGCTCATGACCATCTTGTAGAGGCAAAAGCCGCAAAAGAGATACCCAATGAGATTGAAGAAGCGACCCTTGAGCGTACGCATCTCGGCAGCGCGCTTCTACACGCGCGATGTTCGACCCATCGGCCTTGCTAACTGGATGTGCGCACCTGGAGTTCGCGCATGGCGTGGATCTCCAGAAAGAGTTCTTGGCTCAACGTCTCGAGGATCTCGACTTCGTTTTGCAGGTTTTGAAGGTAGGATTCTACATGGCATGTAAGAGGTTAGGAGGTTCGGACGAAGCGACTACCTTTAGACACTTGGGGTGAGGCCCAGTGCCACAAGCGCAGGAGCGGGTTCGACCGGCCCGATGTCGTCGACGCATCGTGGCCCGGAACGTACCGACGCTCGACGACGATGCGCTTCTTCTTGGTGACGACCATCTCGAGGTTCTGGCGCAGACGCCTCTCGAGGCAGCGCACGTCGTCTTCCTCGACGTTGCGCCAAAACATGCTCATGTACTCGTACGGGCCATTGACAGCGCCAAAGCCCGAGAGCACCGCCATGAAGTTGACCCCGAGGAAGCTCACGCGGCTCACAAAGGCCTCGAGCGAGACGAACCACGCCATTGTCGTGGGCTGTGGCGTCGCGTCCTGCACGAGAGTGACGTAGTCGCCGAGCTTCCAGAACGCGTAGAGAAAGCCGAGCTCAAAGGTCGTCGCGAGCAGGAGCGCCGTGCGTCGCCGGCACTGTTGCTCGCGCGCCAGCGTAAAGATGAGGACGAACGGGATGAGGTACGCAATGAGGAATGCGAGCACGACGAGGTCGATCTGCCACACGAGCTGGCGCGTCTCGCTGCCGAGGACAGCCGCGAGCTCAAAGATGACAACCTCGAGGATGCTCATCGAGCACGCGAGGCAGACGCAGAAGATGAGCCGCGAGAAGACGCCCGTGTCCTTGACCTCGTAGTCCTGGAAGAGCCATCGCGAGAAGAAGATGTGGGCAAAGGCGAAGAAGCCGACGTAGCTGCCGCCCACGACAACCAGCTCCAGCATCGTCCCAATGTCGAGTCCGGATAACGGTGGGCTAAACTGGGACAAACATGCTTTCGCGGTTTCGACGTGCAACTTCTGTTGGGCTGGGTACACCCCCAGTCGCGAAGGTGTGGTTTCCCTTGCAGCGCCGGAGCAGCATGCACAGGCCCCCGTGGCACGCTCGTGCTACGTCATGTACTTGTAGCTCGGCTGATATGAGAGGCGGCCGTTCACATCATCTCGCTGAAATGACGATGCGCAAATATCGGTATATACTAACGTTACGAGGACACGTGTGGCAAGCCAGCATCCGAGCCCACGACAGCCGCATGGCTGGCCGTCGCTGCTGGTCGTAGCTTCGACGAGCGCCGACATTCCGACGGCGCAAGGGGCGTAACTTTTTCACAACTTCTAATTTTCCATAGTTCATGATGCTATTTAATAGTTCGGGACCCTCGCCATTCGTTTCCGAGTCTCGCGAGGAGGGCTTCGCTGCTGTGTGTCGAGGACGTCACGGCCGTGGGGCCACTGCTGTACTTATCTACTAGTATGGCTTGGCCGCGCAAGTATTGGCGTGCTAATACCAGTCGCCATCCCGATCCTGTGCGACAGCATCCGGATACGGTGGACCCGACGTGCCGGCTCGTACACTCAATGTACGACCAGTACAACCATACTGAAACAAAGATAGAGTGTACGTACAGTACATCCTCCGGGTGTTCGACGGAAACAGACTGCGCAACAGTAGCTGGCCCTTTGGCTATTCTCTACTCGCGATGAGGCAGAAGGAGCCGGCGACGCACAAGCAGTCCAACACTGGTGCGCCCATGGACAACAAGCCCAAGCCGCAAGGGCCTCGCCCGACTGGCGCGGCGACGCCTGCGGGCGCCGGCCAGAGCGGTCGCGTCGGCTGCTTGCGCATGATCGACAACCGCCAGTTCCACTACGTCTACATGCTCTTGCTCTTTTGCGACTTTTTCGGCAACTGCGTCGCGGTGGCCTTTACGTCGCAGCAGACGTTCTACAAGTGGGGCCTCAAGACGCGGCTCTACTCGTGCGGCTTCATGGTGCTCTACCTCCTCGAAATGCTCTGTCGCGTCGTGTCGCTTCGCGGCGCGCTCTTCCGGTCGCCGTCGTCCATGTTCGACCTGCTCGCGCTGCTGCTTCTGGCGGGCAGCTTGGCCGCGCGGTAGGAGCTTTTCACTCCTCCTTATAGAATGGTGTATAGCCTGCGTGACGTAGATTTGTCTTTTCCGATGCGCTCTCCAAGGTCATCATCTCGCAGGACGGGTACTTTGACGCGCCGCAGTCGGAGCTGTACCCCAAGTACAAGACGAACCAGTACGAGCAGTACTGGACCGCGCTCTACTGCCTTGTCGCGTCCGCGCGCATCATCTTCAAGCCGCGTGCGCGCATCTTCTCCAAGAAGCTGCACCGGTACGCCGACTCGGACCACTTGCTCATCTCGATGGCGTCGCTCCGGTCGTCGCTGCGTCGCATTCCCAACATCACGGAGGCGGCCATCGAGATGATGGAGACGGACCTGACGATCATTTGCGGGCGCACGGACGGCGACATGAGTCGCGCCGAGCTTATGCAGTTCCTCGAACGCGCTCTGTACTACCGACCCAAGGAAATTTCCGCCAACACGTTCCTCTCGTACCTCCGCGACATTGACGCGCAGTCGTCGCAGTTTGTGTACGGCGCGCTGGACGTGATCAAGTCGACGCTGCGTCACTGGTCCAACCAAAAGGGCGCGCTCTTCTGCACGATCGTGGTGGTCTTTGTGCACGCGGCCATCGTGCCGGGCCTTGCGTACCTCATGCAGATTCTCGGCGACTACGCATTTCCCAAGTCGGTCATTGACACGGCCATCTACAATGCGAGTCCGTCGTCGTCTCAAGTTTGTATCCAGCCGACTCATGTCGCATGTCCTGTGTAGCGACCAACTATCGCATTGAGCGCGCGGTCACGTACCAGAACGTGACGACGGATCAGCAAGGCAACGACATTACGCTCTCGTACATCAAGCCCGAAGAGACGCTTGCGATTGGTGTCATTGGCATCCTCGTCATTTGCGTGCCGTTTGCGATCGTCGACTACTCGATGGGGTACTTTCAAGCGCTCATGATCTCCAAGGCCACCGAGCGCCTCCAGGACAAGCTACTGCGCACGATCCTCGCGCAGCCGACGCTCTTCTTTGCGAAGCGCAGTGAAGGCGACTTGAACAACCTCTTTCAGTCGGACATTGCGCGCGTCAACGCGTTGTGGCAGGCCATTTTCTGGGTATTTTTCATTTTCATTTTTTCAGGATTGTATCGAGGTATCAATCCTGATGGTGGTGGATAGAACCTCATGCACCCGATCGTGTCGGTCGTCGTCGGCTTTGCGTTCCTCTGCTACTTTGAACCGACGGCGGGCATTCTCTCGTTTGCGTTCTCGGCCATCATCGTCACGTCGGGGCCGCAAGGCCGCGCGTCGAAGCGCTCGAAAGACTTTGGCTCCAAGAACGCGTACGTGGCGGCCGAGTTTCAAAATGCCATTGCGTGCCAAAAGGTAGGCTCTCGATGGATCGATGGATCGAATGATAAATTGATACATGGCGTAGGTCGTGCGGGCGTACCGGATCCAAGCGCCGTTGGCGCAAAAGTTTGCCGCGAGCACGCTGGCGCTGCACACGGCGCAGTTTCTCAAGGACTTTTGGGCCGGCGTCGTCCAGATCTACGTCGAGTCGGCCATGTACATCTTTGTCTCGATCATCACGTCGTGCCTCGCGATCAAAGTCTTTAACGGCGACATTACGGTCGGCGACTTTTTCTCGGCGGTCACGCTCCTCGCGCGCATCTCGACGCCGGTGACGGTGCTCGGCGGCTTTATGCGCGTCGCGATCGGCAATGCGTCGAGTCTCCAGCGCCTCGACGAGATTGTCTACAGCGTACGTTGTTGTATATTGGACCAACTCTGTCCAATATTGCAATCCGTATTGAGACCGATGGGTAGGAGCTGGCCGACCAGACGCACGACAAGGAAGACGACGCCAAGCCGTCGCTGAAGCGCATGCAGCACGGCCTTGCGACGCGCGCGCTGAGCTTCCAGTACGACGAGACGTCGGACCACTGGGACCTATCGGACGTGCACGCGTCGTTCCCGCTGGTAAAAGCCACCACTTGATAGATTGATACGACGATGGTGCTACGCAGGGCCACTATGTGTGCATTGTGGGGCCCAGTGGCTGCGGCAAGAGTACGCTTCTCGGCTGCCTCATGCAGTTTTACGCGCCGAGCGACGGCGCGATCACGATGGACGACGCGGACGTGGCCGCGCACTCGAAGAAGAGCTACATGGCGCAGGTGGCGGTGGTCTTTCAAGACGGCGGCATCCTCAACGGCACGATTCTCGAAAACATCGAGTTGCTACTTTCGACATGATGGTCATCTTTGTCTCATGGTAGTATGATGGATGGTAGGTTTGGCAACATTGGCGCGACCAAGGAGGAGTGCATGAAGGCGGCCGAGCTCGCCGAGTGCAGTGCGTTCATCAAGAACCTCAAGGACGGCTACGAGACGGTGGTCGGCCAGCATGCGACGTGCAACCTCAGCGGCGGCCAAGCGCAGCGCATTTGCCTCGCGCGCGCGCTCGTGCGCAAGCCGAGCGTGCTCCTTTTAGACGAAGCGACGTCGGCGCTCGACACGGAGACGGAGGCGTCGATCATTGATACGCTGCGCAAGCTCGCCAAGACGACGCACATGACGGTCGTCTCGGTGACGCACCGTCTGTCGACGACGCGCAATGCGGATGCGATCCTCGTCATGGACGCCGGTCGGCTCGTGGACCAAGGCACGTACAACGAGCTGCTGGACCGCCCGATGGGCCTCTTTGCCGAGCTCGTGCAGACGACCAAGGAGACGACGCCGTCGACGCGCCAGTCGCTGAGCTACGGCAACGAGTACGTCGAGGACCTCTCGAACGTGCTCGACACGCATCGCGCGCTGCAAGAATTTACGCAGCAGTTGCGCCCGCGCGTCGTACGTCCTCTCTCTGATCAAAAGTGTCTGAAATGCATTATGTAGGACAGCGCCAACTCGGGCGGGTGGCGCCGAAAGGAGTCGGGCGCGGCGTTGAACCGCAAGATGACGGGCGAAGCCGACAACTACATCGTCTTGTAGTGGCGCCGTGGAGGAGAACCATCCATGTATACGGCATAATGAATGAATTGCATCCTGTATCTGGGTGGTTGCCAAAGTTGCAACGGAGCTCGTCGGCGTGCGATCGTCGGGAGCGTTGGAAGAGCACTGATGGGATGTATCCTGGTGGGTGCTAGCAGCAGCCGAGGACAGATTGGACCGCACCGAGCGAGACGAGGTGTGCGAGCGTGGAGTGGCATTTGTCCTTTGGCGGGCTTGCAATATGTACGCGCCGAGGTCGATTGTGACACGTGGAGACACCGGTGGCGTGGCGGCAGCGGGACAAGGGTGTCCCTGGGAGACGATACCTTTATAACCAAGCATTGCCAAGAATCAGCCGATCACCACCAACAAGCACCTCGTCCTGGCACACCAGGAGAGATGTGTGGTGCATCGTCGGAGCGCATGACCACATCGAGATCACGCCCCGCGCCGCTCCTAAACATGAAAGGCCACGGCAGCCCCGTGCACCGGTGGTTGCGATGACGGTGCGCGTTTGGCTTGCTGCAGCGCCGTCATCGATCTCGCCCGATAGCTCCGATGCTACCCGCCAGAGCGCCTAGGCGGCAATCGACCTACGCTCGGAACTGCGGGTAAGGCGCCCTCGAGGCGAGGTGCCAGCTCTCATTTTGCAGGGGTCCGCACCGCGGCCGGGTCGGAGTCGCCTTGGCCAGCGTTGGGGGACCGCAGCATTCGATCCACGGGCTCTGCCATCCGTACCGGGTGGCTGTCGCTTGTCTCGCGTTGGTCTAGGAACGTAGTTGTTGATACGATGCTGCGCGTGGCTTGGAACGCGTTCGGGTTGAATCCACGCGTCGATGGTCTGGCCCACGAGCCAATCCAGAAGCGCTGCGGCAAGGTGCGACGCCGATCCAAACGACGACGATGCGACCTCTATCCGCATCGACAACGACCTGCACCACCAAGTACTGGACTGAGGCGCGGGTAGACAAGAGACATCGCACAGAGAGTTGCTGCGTGCAAGGCAGGTTGAGGTTGAGATTCGGAATACAAGCAAGGTGTATTGGGTTAAATGAGTTGGCTTAGACATCGAGCTGGTTCGAGGACGTCCACTGGGCAATGAGCTCTTGGCGGTAGGCGTGGACGTGGTCCTTATTGTACGTGTAGCGATGGTTGTCGCAGTTGCCGCGGCAGCCCGAGCACGTGTCTTGGTGGCACGGCACACCGTTCCGAGCGCACTCGCAATCTACGCTCTTCCATCAGTCCTTGCACTTAGATCTCGTCGCACCTTCGGTCGTGCAGTTCTTTTCTTCGGCGGCCAGCGTCTTGGCCCGCATCATGAGCTCCGGCTTGCTCATGTGCGCCGTGTCCACGTCCCGCTCGTGCAGCCACGCGACGAGCTTCTTGATGTGCATCTTGGAGACCTTCTTGACGAGGTCGCCGCACGAGCACCCGCAGTGCTCTATCGCAGTCGCCGTCAGCCTCGCTACCCAGCTACGCTTTCTACCTTCGCGCGACGTGCGAATGAGCGCAAACTCGGTCGCTTGCTCGTGGGACAAGGTGGCAAAGACGTGCGCATCGCAGTCGTCGTTCGAGACTACATGCAAGTGAGTTCAAGGACGAAGGGAAGGAGGCAGCGCACTCGAGAGCCGGCGCTGGCGCGCGTTGGTCGTCGACTTGGCGGGCGCAGTGTCGTGCGGGGTGTTCGCCGCCTGCCACTCGTCCTCGGCGGTCATGAGCACCTTCTTCCGCTCGCGTTCCGTGAGGCGGGCGACGCGCTCAAAGTTGGACTTGGCCTTCTCCGTCGCCGACGCGACCGTGTCGACGGATCCGAGCGAGATGTCGCCGACGTGCTTGCCGAGACCGAGCGCCCACGCCCCTTCGCTGGGGACGGCACTTCCGCCACCCGGGCAGCGGAGGAACTCGCGCGCTTGGACGTAGCCCCACGTCACCATCTTGCCGCCCATCGACTGCGACTTGAGCTTCGTCTTGGGCGGCGATGGAAACGCATCGTCGCTCCAGCTGTGGCTGCGGCTCTTCTTTTTGTTCTTCTTGGCCTTGGCCTTGGGCGGCGTCGGCTTGTGGGGCGGCGACGCCGGCGCGTTCGTCGGGAGGCGTGGCGGCGTCATCGGCGCCGAGAGTGAATGGAGCGGCGGTGTCATTGGCGTCGCCATCGGCGCGGCCTGCGGCGTCGCGGGCGGCGTCTCGCCCGGCGCGTGCTTCTTGGCCTTCTTGGCCTTCTTTTTCTTCTTTTTCGGCGTCTCTGGCGTCGCCGGGCCCGACTGCGCTATCAGTGCGGTCTCGTCAGCTTGGTTGTTTATACCAGGCGTCGGCGTCACAGGCACCATCGCCGGCGACGCCGTCGGCTCCGGCGTTGTTATCCTGTCGGGCGCCTGGCTGGGCGCCGGCGCCGGGTGGCACTCGGGGCGGTGGCTCGGCCATGCGCCGATCTGGCATTCTCGGTTGCAGAAGTAGACTTGACGGCATTGACCGCATCTACACCTTGCGAACGGCGCTTGGCAAAAGTAGCACGTGGGCATGCTGCGGAGGAAGGAGGAGGCAAGCTTACGAATGATCCCTTGGGCGCTGGAACATGCAACGCTGCGACATGTGCGGCGGCCTTAAAAGCGCTGCTTGTGATTGGCCAAATAAGTTTCTTATTTCCACCACTTCGAGCGCACGCTGGATACTTGATAAAAATCGCTCCGGTCTGCATACAAACGCAAGGCATTGGCCACTATTTTTTAAAGTGACTCAATGTACGAGGGTACCGACGGTCCTGGACGGCGCTTTGATACAAAAAACAAGTAGTACGAACGTACGACCGAATGTACGGCGCCGATGCACCCGGTGCAAGAGAAACTTCTCGAAAGCGCCCCGCGACGCGTGGCACAACAAAAAGGCTCTTAACGGCACGCCGCCGATTCCGCGTCGCAACGGGCGACGGCTCGGACGCCAACCAGTGTCGTTGGCATCTTTATTTGCCGATGGCGAGTAAACGCCATGGCGTTGCAGTACCAGGTACATTGCGTGGTCACTATTGTCACGAGTTTGCACGGGACGGCGGGCGTATAGGCGTGGTCTTACGGGCAGCCAAGAGCCGAGGCGTGAGGAGCTTGGTCTGGGTGCCAAGCTACCGGCGAGAATGGCGCGAATGCTGGCGTCTTTGCGGCCGCCTGCACGCCACGCAACCCGCTCGTAATGACTCTGCGGATCAGCTTGAGGTTGGCGACTGCAGTATCTTTGCGCACAACCGTTGAAGGTCGTACGTATCTCCGGGCTCGCTACAGCATTTCAAAGAAGAGCGGCTTGGTGCCAGGGACGCGCCTCGACTGCGGGTACATGCATGTATCCGCCGGACTGTGTTCCTCGCGAAGCTTCCACATCGTCCACATCCGCATCCTCTGACGTGGCACGGGGTGGCACGGCTAGCAAATATCCGGAGATCCGGATAAGAACGCGGATTCGTTCGCGCGCTTCAAGTGCGCGATCTTGCGGCGGAGCCACGCAGCCATAACACATCATGGACGCGCTTCGGACCATTGACCTCGCGGGTATGCGCAAATCCGTGCGTGGCCCCGAGGCGAGAGCGCCGGCTGCGGTCGCCCGCGAGGTCTGTGCAGAAGCAACACTAGGATGGCCAACACTCGATGCTGTAGGTGTGCCAGCGGCTCGGCCTGGACCCGACGCGGACGCTTCACGATCTGCTAGTCGAGTACTTGGAGCACGAACCGCCCAAAGCCAGTGCAGTGGCGACGCCGATCGAGGCCGACGATGTGCACCAAGACGAGGTCGCGCGCCACGAAGCCCGTGCGGCGGGCGTGGCGTCCATCGTGCAGCGCGTCGTGCAGCACGGCTACGTCGATGCGACCAACCCCGTTGTCGATTTGTTCGACATGGAAATGTTTCTTGGCCGCTTGCACGAACTACGCGACGCATTCCCGCCGTTCTGGACACACGCGCTGGCGATCAAGGCCAACCCACTCGCCGGCATCTTGCGTCACGCCCAGCCACTCGTACGCGGTCGACTGCCCCGTGTGTCCCTTGACTCTTGTCTAGGGCTTTGGCTTGGAGACTGCGTCGTATGCAGAAGCAATGCACGCGCTGCGCTTGGGCTTCTCGCCCGACAAGATCATCATCGACTCGCCGTGCAAGACGGCATCCGAGCTCGACGCTGTCCTCTCGCTCGGCTGCTACGTCAACCTCGACAACGTTGCTGAAATCGAACACGTCGATCGTCTCTTGCGCGAGAAAACAACAACAACGGCAGCACCCAAGATCGGGCTGCGCATCAACCCCGTTGTCGGCGGTGGCACGATTGCAGCGTCAAGCACGGCGACCGCGACGAGCAAATTCGGTTTGATCTGGACGCCCGAGACCAGCGACCGCCTTTTGTCGCTGTACAAAGCGCACCATTGGCTTCAAGGCGTCCACGTCCACGTCGGCTCCCAAGGTAGTAGTATAGTACTAGTACGGCGACAAAGTACCTTACAACGTACTACGAGGCTGCGCACTCGCGCTGCTCGTGGCCGGCGCCAAGCGCGCGGTGGCGTTCGCTTCGTTCATCAACGATGCGCTCGGTCGACGCCAAATCGACGTGATCGACATTGGTGGCGGTGTGCCCACGAGCTACGACGGGCTCAAGGCCGAGCCTGTCGCGTACGCTACGTACGCGTCCCTATTGCGCGCTGACGTACCCGGTGACTTGATCCATTGATACGACGACACCTCTCAAGTCTACGATCTGATAGAGCTTTTCTCGGGCGAGTACCGTGTCATCTCGGAGTTTGGTCGAAGTGTCTTTGCCAAGCCCGGCGTGACGCTGAGCCGCGTCGAAGCCGTCAAAGACTGGCAAGGTGCGCGCTTCTTGAACGCGCGGTTGCAACTACGCCCCTCTAGGCCACAAGGTTGCGATTCTGCACTGCGGCGCCAACCAGTTTCTGCGCTCCGTGTACCTCCCGACAACGTGGCCGATGGTCTACTCGGTCTTTGCTGGCGACGGCAGCATCAAGCACAACGTGCCGTTCGTGGCGCAGGACCTCGCGGGACCGCTCTGCTTCTCGGGCGACGTGGTCGCGCGCCAAGTGCGCTTGCCGCAAGTCGCAGCCGGCGACTATGTCGTCCTCCACGACACTGGCGCCTACACGATGGCCATGTACTCGAAGTTCAACAGCATTCCCGCGCCGGCGACGCTGGCGTACACGCCAACGTCCGTGGCAATTGTCAAGGCGCGCGAATCGCTCGATGCGACGCTGGCGTTTTGGGGCAGTGCGTCCGAGGAATTGCAATGGCGTCCGTGCAGCTAGACTCCTATACGTCGACAGGCACGTGTGTTGCTTCCGGAACCACCACTTGAATCATGCAGTTGAGTATCAATCTATCGACTTGAGTTCATTCCAAATACTTCTGTTCTTGTACCGGTACTGGAATGCATTCTGGACCCTGGGCGACAACAGAGCAATGAGTCGAACCGCGCGGCCACGGCCCAGCGAGCGACTGCAGAAGAAGATGATTGCTAACCTCTACGTTTAGAAATCTCTCAAACGCGCAAATCGTTCATAGAGGCACTTTGGGCCAACGTTGGTGATGCCAAGGGTCAAGTGACCGTGTGATGCCAAGGTTAAGTGACCCGTGGCGATGCGACGTGTCGGACAAGTTGTCTTTTTTAAAGATGTGCACAATAGTGTCGTCGTCTATTATTCTCCATTTCTTCTCGTCTTACATGAGCGAGATGAGGACGTCGGTGACCGTGACAAAGACGAGGAAGGCGCCGCTTTGGATCCGCGTGACGCGCGTCGCGTCCTTCTGCACGTAAAATTCGCGCCTGTCGTTGGATGAATACCAAGCGGATTCTTTCAAAAAAAAGTTTACCGAGCGTCGTGGATGGCCGCCATGTAGTGCGAGAGCATGCGGTCAAACTCGGGGAGCTCGGCCGCCTAGGATGCCATGATGAGAGGAGAGTGGGGAGAGAGTGGAGTGCAGTGTGGAGAGCGCACCTGGGACTCTTGGAGAAGCGCCCAGTCGATGGACTCGCGCGGCGGAATCACGGGCGGCGGCTGCGCGATCTGGACCTCCTTGGGGATTCCGGCAAAGTGGTACATGCACCGGAGCTTCTCCGTAAGCTTGAACGTCCACTCGAATTCCGAGAGCGCCTTCTGACGCTGCTTGGTGTGCGCCTTGGTCATGTGCATCGTCTACGCCGCGTCGAGAAATAATGCGCGCGGCAACCGGAGGCTCGTGCGTACGTGGTGTTCAAAGAGGTCGTTGAGGAAGCTCTTGTGGACGCCGCAGATGTTGAGGTACAACTGCTGCATCTCGGCCTCCGAGAGAGCGCCATCGCGGTTGCTGTCGAGGACCGCAAAATGACCTGCGCCAAACTATGAGACATGCGTAATTGGTTTCGTCGTACGTTCGAGCCACTGCGCCGGCGAGCCAAGCGCGTAGAGTTCGAGAAGCGTATGCACGTCCGCACTCGCAACAACGCCTGTGCGGTGGTATGACAACCGATCGTCTTTCTTGCAGAGGTGCAAGTACCGTCGTTGTCCTTGTCGAGCTGCGCAAAGTACCGCTTGATGTCCTGGCACTTGACCTTGGCGTACAGGTAGTGCATACTACGCACGGACGACGCCAGCTTTTCGTCCGACGGCCGGTTGTGGTCAAAGAGCGTGGGCTCGCCGGCGCAGGCGTCGTCTTGGAGCGACTGCAACTTTGCAATGACGGCGTCAATGCGGGCTTCGAACGCGACCTGTGCTGCTGCGTTAGCGCCAGAGTGCGCGGCGGCCATGCACCTTGTCGAGCGTCGCATCCTTGTCAGCAAACGTATCCCGGAGCCAGGTCATGAAGGCGTCGTCTATACTCGTGCAACGGATTGCACGCGAGTTCCAGACCGCGCAGTTGGGTACCTTGGTCAATCGGGCATGCGGCTTCGAGCGTCTCGACGGCCCGCTGGGCGTTCTGAATCGCCTTGATGTCCATCTGGTCGTCTACGCCGAGGCCATGAGCCAAAGACAGTGCGCAGCGGTGGTACCAATGATCGTCGTCGTGAACTTTTCCCACGGCGTCATCTCCTTGATGAACTTGGCCGGCGTCTCGACGGGCGCCGCTGCGGGGGCGGCTTCGAGCGTCGTAGAAGACAGTGTCCGCGAGGCCATGGCCGGCGCCAGGCGGCGCAGCGCGCGGCTGCCCATGCGCAGAGGCCCGCGGCCCAACGTCGACGCGAGCATTCTCAGTGTGTGTGAACCAACATTTATCGACGCGGTCATTGGCTTCCTCTGTAAACCTATATACCATACGAAATCAGAGGTTTTATGCGTGTCAACCGCACGAGAGCCTCGTCGGGCAGCGAGAGCAAGCAGCAACGACCAAGAATGCCATGCAATGTGTCATCCAGACGTAGCCAGCACGCTACAAAACGTCCATTGTAGCGTCGGTGAAACACAACTGGACGATGCATCATATCAGTGGTCAAAATGCTACGGCGCGCGATGCCCCACGTGGCACTCGACGAGCCGCAGAAGAGCCGTGAGCGTCTCGGCCAGGCCATCCAGGCGGGCCTTTGTCGCTGTCTCTAGCGTCAGAAGCTCGCTCGGCCGCCGCGCAGCCAACGACGCCTCGAGTGCACTCATCCGATCGTTGAGACGCGCCGAGTCCAGCCGCATGCGCTACACGCTCATGTAAGCGACGCGTTCCTGATGCGACGCCGGAGCTACCTCTTCCATATCATACAAAGACGCGTCCACGTCTTGCGCGCCAGTTTGTCGCGCGGCCGTCGCATCGCCCACGTCGTGGCGCAGTTCCCGGAGCTGGTCAAAGACCGAGCGCAGCACGTGGTCGTGCCGTGTGCGCACAGCGTCCATATCTGCCCAGCGCGCGGCCGCGCCGGCCGCCGTCTCTACCAAGCGTCTCTGTACTAAATATGAACCAGGAAATCGCACCTCGAAGCTGGTCGTCGGTGCGTTGCAAGCGGCCGCGCACCTCTCGCTCGAGCTCGCGAAGCTGGCGTTCGTGGTCGACCACGAGCGCATCAAACTTGGCGCTCAGGAGCGCGTTCGCTTGGCGCAAGATCGTCTCTTGCTGCTGCGCAACGTCGGCGTCCGTGCGTCGCAGGCGGCGCTGGAGGTGCTCGAATGTATCTCGGAGGCCGTCAACTGTTTCGGCGAGTACGTGGCAGTCTACAATCGCCTTGCCAATGGGCAACTGCCGGGATATATACCGTCATACCGCGCACAAAGTGCTGGAATCGAAACTCGAGCCGGTCGAGTGCGTTGCAGAGCTCGGTGCGACCGTCGATGCAGCTCTCGTGGACCATGTGCAGCTTTTTCTGGACCTCGTTGTGGAGCTGCCCAACGTCGTCCGAGAGGAGGCTCGCGAGCTTCCCAAGGCCGACGCGCGTCGAGCTCACCTGCGCCTGCAGCGACGCCATGGCCCCCGCTGGTTCTTTTGGCGCCACCATGATCCTGGATCGGTTACGTGCAATAAATCGGGCCACTGGTTCACGTTCAATTTTGGCAACCGCCGCCGCATGGCACGGGACGTCGGGTCTATGGGTCGCTTTGCGACGCAGCTCTTTGCCCCGTCCGAGCCGCAGGGAGGTAACCGGCTAGCGACTATCGCGGCCGCGGCCCGGCGACAGAGCCTGTCACCCGACAGCAATGGCCTCAAGACGAAGAAAGTCCAGCCCGTCAACTTTTCCCGCTTTCGCGCACTCGAGAGCCGCGTCGGCGAGTGGCGCATGGACAGCTCGTTTCGCCAGCACAACGTCCTCGTACGACCTGCGACTCGCTGATGTCTTCCTCCAAGTGCCAACGCGCGCGATGTAGATGTTGATCAATGCCATGTTTGGGCTTGCGCTCGCGATCGCCGAGCTCGAGCTCTCTTGGGAGGGCCCGCATGACGCGCCGTCCCACGAGGCGTACGCCCTCAAGAGCAAGCTGCACCATTATCCTGTCTGCATAGGGTTGGCGAGTCGCTCCGCAGTACGATTCTCAAAGCCATCATCTCGCTCTCGACGCTACTCTTACTATGGCAGCTCGTGCGGCTGCATCAAATGATGTCGCTCGAGAAGAAGCTCGTGTGGGGCGAAGCCTTCAAGATGCGATACTGGACAACCGAAATGACACTCCGCGCCTTCTCCGAAGGGCTTTTACTGGCCGTCCACCCCGTACACACACATAACCGATGGCCTCACCTTGGATCATGACGATGTAGCCGCCGTATACGAGCCACGAGGTGCTCGAAGCCGGCGCGATCTTTATGCTGCTCCGCTTCTACCTCGTCGTCCGCGTCGTCCGCGACCACTCGATGGTCTACCGCAAGCGCAAGGACATCGTCGAGGTACGAAAGACTTGGTTTAATCGCCGCAGGGCGCATCGCCGTGTAGCAACACTTCAAGGCGACGCCGGCGCCGCGCTTCAACTGGTGGCTCACGACACAAATCGTGTTCCAGCACACCCCGGGCGCGACCCTCCTGGCCTTCACGGCCTGGTGCATTGCCGCCTTCGGGCTCGCGACGTACTTTAGCGAGCGGGACGCCAACCCCGAGACGTTTACGCTCGTCAATTCGACGTGGTATGCGTACACGGCCTTTCTCACCCTCGTACGACTTGTTTTGTATCAAGATATCAAGTGTGGAGCGCGACGTGTAGGATTTTGAAGAGTACATTGTGTCCACCGACACCGCGCGCGTCATCACGTGTCTTCTCATCCTCGCGGTAAAACGGCGCAGGACGCGCTAAAAAGGCTGAACGCTGGAGCGTTTAGGGTATTGTGCTCAATACGCTCGTGGTCGTTGCGATTCTAGACAACATTTCGCTCGATGCCAAAGGCAAGATTGCCCTTGCGTTCGTCTACCGGGCGGAGGCCCACGACGCAATCCGGGCCGCGGCCGGTGCGTTTATTGTGACGTGGCTGCGCTGGAAGCGGGCGCAGCGAACGCTCTTGACCGCCGCCGAGTGGCGCAGCCACCTCCTCAAGGTCACGCGCGCGCTCGACGCCATGCGCATTGCGCGCTACAAGAAAAAACTCACTGAGCAGAGCCTCGGCGACCCGGTGCTCGACAAGCTCCAGAGCCTCGACGCGTGGATCCTCCAGATCTGGGCCAAGCTCCACATGGACGGCTTGGACCTTGCGAAGCGAGAGACGAGACCAGCACCGCGGCTGCAGACGTCGCGCAGCCTCAGTACCGTGCGCACACCGATCGCCGCTCGCTCCCCGAGTGCCCCGATCGACGATCGTCTGCCGAGTGCGCCGGCGGCGGAGCGTCGGCCAGGTGTGCCGGCGGCGGTCGAGCGCACCGAAATTGCGTGCCTTCGGCTCAGCCAAGAGCTAGTGCAACGGCAAAACGAAGACATCCTGCGCACACTGCAAGACATGTTGAGTCGTAACTAAGCTCCCACATCGCGTTATATATACCGCAACAACATGTCACCACACGTCATGGACGACGCGAAGGACAAGTTGGACTTTGTTAAAGTGCCGCGAGACGCAAGGCGACAGCTTCGCCGATCGCAAGCGACGACGTCAATCCTGGCGACTCGATACCCAGGAGGTGCACGAGCTCTTTCCTCGTTCCATCCTACAGCAAGGTCAACGTCGATGTGTGCACGACACCCCTACGACGTACGACGATGCGAAAGTCGGCGTCTGGCTCGCCGGGGCCGACGATCTTGGGACGGATCCCGCTGTAGTCGGGAATGAGCTCGGCGTCCATGACGCCCGGCCAGTAGTCGCGGATGCGAGCCGCAAATGCCGCTGCTTTGTCGGGATTGACCTGACAAAAATGAAACATTTTGAAGTCCGACGAAATTGTCGGCGAACAAGGTGTGCGCTACCTGGTAGTCGATGTCGGTGACCCACTCGACGTCGGGGCCGAACCGAACGTTGCCGTCGAGGTCGAGCGTGGCATGGACGCCAAGACCGCCCTTCTCCGGCACGGGGTAGATCAAGTGCCTAGCTCAAAATATCGCAGCCGTCGCCTCGCTACCCAGTCGATGCTGACTTACTGGAAAGGCATGCGTGCGACGCCGCCGAGCTTAAAGTACGAGCCCTTGGCAAACTTCGTCGGCTCGGCGATGCCAAAGGGGCGCGGCGTGCCTACCATTCAAGCATTAATAGGACGCAGCACGACAGAAGGCGGCGAAAAAACCTTCAAGGAGCGCCGCGAGGCGCAGAGCACCGAGCCCCGCGGCGTTGACGACCGCGTCGCACGTGATGACGTCCGTGGCACTCGGATCGTCGGTCGGGTGCGTCACCACGTCAAACGTGCCGTCGGCGTTGGCGCGGCCGCCAGCAACGGTGCAGTTGAGTGCAAAGTCGCAGCCATAGGCCTCCGCGTCCCCTGCGCACGCCACGTCATCCCCGTCGACCGTATTTAAAGGCATGTCCTACCTTGCATGGCGAGCATGAGCGCGTGCGAGTCGACGATGCCAGTCGACGGCGACAGCAGCGCCTATCCAACACTCGTCTGACGTATAACGTGGGATTCGACCTACGCCGTGGGCCACGACGTCGGGCTCCAACGCATGCACGTCCGAAGCAGTGAGAAGGCGGACGTCGGTGACGCCGTTCGCCATCGCCTTGGCCATGAGCGCTTGTAGCTGCTGCATCTACGTAGAGCGATCATGAAAAATGAGCATGGCTGCTGTGTGTACTTGGTCGGCCGACGACGCGACGACGAGCTTGCCGCAGCGCTGGAAAGGCACGTGAAAGTCGCGGCAAAAGTCGTACATGAGCTGTCGACCTTGCACACAAAGCGTCGCCTTCTGGCTCTGCGGCGCATAGTACAAGCCCGCGTGGATCACCTCGCTGTTGCGCGACGAACACTCCATGCCAATGGCTATAACCGCAAGGCGCATGAGCGGCAACAGAGGCGCGTCGGAGGCAAATACCTGCGTGCTGCTCGAGGACGACGACCTGCAAGCCGCGGCGCGCGGCTGACCGAGCGACAGCCAGGCCCACCGCACCACTGCCAATGACGGCGACGAGCTTGGAGGATGCCATCTCGAGCCAAAATGACGTCGCCGGCCTCGGCCAAAAGCAGTCCGACCTCGACGGTGATTGGCCCGTCTGGGTGCGGATCGAATCAATCACCCCACCGAGCGCGGACTGAGCGATGTCAGCTCAACACTTCTGCGCGAGAACAACGCGACTCGCTGGTCGAGATAACGTCAGACACTCAGCTACGCATGCGTCTGGCAAAGGAGCGTACCACATCTGGCGACGGAGCCACACCACCCTCGTAAAATGACGTCAAAATCGTCCATGTGATCGCCGCTCTGTTCGTCAAAGGGCCCATCTTTGATGCACTTTTGGCTCTGTCTGCAGCCAAGAGAGTGGATATGAGCGATGGATGCAACCTTTTCCTCGAGTTCAAAGCCCTCAATCGGTCTTCTTTTCGGTTGCTGCTACCGTTTCTCTCTCGGTTTCACGTGTAAATGGCGATGGTTGACGAACCGATGCCGGTGCCAACGAACCCGTTCCGTTCGGACGGTGGTTCTCGCGAGTCGAGTGTGTCGACGTCGTCCGGTGACCATGGCACCACCGAGGTTCGCGCTGGCCACTGCCCCATGGCTGTAGTTTGCGTGGTAGGACGACGAGGTGGGGCGCCGGCCTGCGATATATGCGACGACCCCCGCCTCCCTTCGGCGCATCGCAGGCGACTTTATGCAGCAGCTGCAGCTGGGTGCGCTTGTCCGCAAGGCCAACGAGCAGGCGCGGACCGCCGGGCACAGCATCGGTATCGTCCGCATCAGCGACATTGAAGCCCGCATCGGCCACGTGGCGCTGGACCCGATCTACCGGCGAAAAAACCTTCTTGTCCGTCGACCAGGTTGGCGTCGCTCACTTTGAGACGTTGTGCCTAGATCCTGCTCAACGGACTCTTTGGCCTCGCACTCTCGCTCGTCGAATTGGTCGTGACATGGGCCCACTCGAGTCGCATCGTCGACCCTGACCTTGGCATGTGGGTCTTACAAACTCGTCTCACCCTTCGCGCGGAATGTCAACCTTGGTGCATATAGGGTGCCGCTGACAGTGCCGATCGCGTCCAACATCATCAAGGCCGTCATTTCCGTCTCGAGCTGTCTCCTCGTGCTGCAACTGATCGACCTCTACCGGCTCTTCTACGCGGAGCTCTACCGCTGGGAGGCAAAGTTCATCGAGGGCGTCCGGGCGACGCGCCCGCCGCACGAGAAAATGGTGGGTACGGCGCCTACTCTGTCTGTTGTCCAAGCGGCATCAAGCGCACTTCGCCGGTGCCTCTTTGACACGGGGCTGCTGTGGCGTGGAAGCCTCGAAGTCGGGCTCGTCCTCGTGCACCCTGTACGTACCCGCGTCGCTTCGGAATGCATCCTCAACCATCCTTAGCCGCCGTGGGCCGACGCGTACGTGTACCAGTCGGCGTCGTGTCTGATGTTTTTTCGGCTCTACTTGCTCGCGCGGGTGTACCGCGACCACTCGATTGTCTACCGCAAGCGGCAACTGATCCTCGAGGTATACCACGTCGCATCTATCGATCAATATATGTGAAGGACAATACGATGAGTAGAACTGCTTTTTAACGTCGACGAGCCCGACGTTCAACTGGTTTTTGTCGGTAAAACTCGACTTTGGCAAGGCGCCGCTCCAGTTTATCCTCGCGCTCTACCTCTTTGTGCTCGCGACGCTCTCGACGTCGGTGCACGTGTTTGAACGCGTGTACCAACCGGACGCCTTTACGTTTGCCAATGCGGTGTGGTTTAGCTTTTGTACGCTGACGACCCACGTACAGAAGCGTCTTCTGCGACATGACGGGCCACTTTTCCATGTGCATTAGGGTCTGCCCACGATGGACCCCATCTCGGGAAATGGTTACTTTGTCACGTCCATCATGCTGGTTCTGGTAGGGTTCTGGCTTCGCGGCTTTTCAAACGCAACTAAGCGGTGGATCTTGTAGGGCATTGCGCTGGAGACAATGGTCGTCGTGGCGATTCTGCACAACTTTGGATTGAACGAGAAGGCCGGCTCGTGGCGCGGTACATCCAGCAGCTCCTCGCGCAACAGCGGCTCGAGACGATCTCGGCCAAAGCGATCTGGTCGTGGTGGCGCTGGAAGCGCGCGCGCCATGCAACCAATGCCGCGTCCGAGGTACTTCTGCGATAGGAGCGTCGTATGCGAGTGTGGACAAGTTGTCAATGTGGACAATTAGGAAAATGCACGCCGCTTCAAGTTTTGGCAATCGCTCGAACCGTTTGGCGACTGCAAGGAAGAGCACCACCAGCTGGCGCAAAGCGTCGGGGACCCAATCGTCGACAAGCTCAAGCAGCTCGAGGCGACGGCCCAGCGACTCCGGCGCCGCATGGACGACTGTTTGCACGCGTGCACGTGCGAGTACGCGGCCGCCGACCTGCAAGCGATCCGCGACAACAACGCAGTGCTCGACGCCCAGCGCGAAGAAATCGCTCTGCTCTTTGCCCGCGCCACCGCGTCGCTCCGCCGTCCAAGAGGCGCCACCAGCGCCGAGTAGGCGTCCGCGTGTCCGTGGCCATTGTGTCTGCGATGCACCGAGAGTATCATAGCGTCTGGAGGCAGAACGCTGTGGTGGCGCGTAGTCATCTGGTGATTAGCCCATCAGACTACATGTAGTGTAATACGTATACTGTATGACGTTCTTGGCGTTGCGTCATTGGGGCTGCAGTGGGGGTCGACGACACACGACAGGTCCGCCAAAAATCTCAGCCGCGACTTCAACATGCACTTTGGTATCCGGAGGAAGTGATAGTCCGGATACACGGACTTGATCGAATTCAGTCCCAGCCAAGGGAATAATTCAGCGATGCCACGGGGATAATTCAGCGATGTATTCGTCGAGAAAATCACCAGGACGCACCCTTCGTGCCCTTGCCAATGCGTGCTTGACGGTATCGGTAGACCGTTTTATCCGGACAGCTGGACGCCGCGCCGTCGTGGGTACCGGTAGTGCTTGTGCACCACGTGGGCATCCAGCGTATTGACATGCGTCAAAGTGCGTTAAAGATGGACGACAGTCGACATTGAAGCTTAAATACACGGCGGACGAGAACAGATAGAGGCGATCGCGACTTAGCCCTGGAGATCGACGCTCATGCTCCGGTAGTAGGACGAGTCGCGGGTCGCGTCGATCGAGTCGCGGAGGTTGCGCGCACTCTTGCTGCGCAGATGGCTCTGGCGCACGACATTGTTGCTTTCGTCGAGCTCTTCCTCGTTCTTGTAAATGGCGCTGAGCTGGCCAAAAATGCGCGCGTTCGTGTCGCGCTTGGCGCTGTGGGACGGCGACGTCGTGGCCGATGCCGGGGCCTCGAGGAACGCGCGCACGCCGTGGGCCATCGAGCACGCTTCGTCGATGTCGGACGTCAGGCCTTGGGTGGCCATGAGGATCGTCTTGAGAAACTCTTGCAGCTCTTCGAGGCGCGAGAGCGCTAGCGATCTTGTGTTGAAGAGCTTCTTCTTGGGGAAGGATTCGATGATGCCAAAGGTCTGAAAGTGCGTCGCGACGTCGCAGACGGTCGTCGCCGAGACGGCTTGAATCGTCTTCATGAGCTCGTGGAACTCCGAGTACCGGCGCGCAATGTACCAGACGTCGTCGCCGTGGTGGACACGAATGACGTAGACGGTGACGCTGTGCAGGACGCCGACGGCGACGACCTTGGCTTGGATCGGGCTAATGCTTTCAACAAAGACGGCCATGCTTCCTTGTGTTCAAGGCGCAAAGTTGGGGAATGGTGCCCAGATTGCGCGCTGCTTTGGAAGGTTCAACCAGCTTTTGCCACGGCAACTTCGCTCCAACGGCCGTTGGATTGGTGCTCGGGGGATTACATCGAAGTTCGAAGCTATGAGCGTGGGACATGCACGCACTAGCGCATGCGACACGCGGCGACGGCGACATAAACGATGGAGGAGCCGGTCTCCTCACCAAAGACGCGGGTCCTTGCGCTGGCTGCGTGTGCTCAGTGCCAGGTAGTGCTACGACGCCGAAGCCAAGGGGCTCGCAGCAGCTGGGCTCGCAGCGTGCTCGGCGCCACTTTGCCTCAAATTTGCCCATAGCAAGCCATGTGTCGTACTCTGGATGCAGTATCGCGTCGATGATTGGCTCCTTTTCGGATCCGCGGCTGGTTTAAGCCAATCCGAACAACATGGACGCGGGCGCGTGCTTCTGATCGGGGCGCACCCACCATGACCCGTTCATGCAAGGTGAGGGAAGGACGCTAGATTCCTTCGCGGGCGGAAAATGTATGTGGCAATGTGGCGAAGGGACGGTTGTTGGCAGCCGCAAGATATACAGCCAAGGCCGGAACGCAGCTGAACGCAATCACAAACCTGAGGGACCTGCCAACGCGCTTCAAAAATTCTCTTCGCGAGTTGTAGTACGACACCTATCTAATCGGAGGACGACGTGGTCGTGAAGGACCCGTAATCGTGCGAATCACCACCACGTCCAACGGGCAAGAGCGGAACAAGACGTGGATTGGCCAAAATCGACATGGGTGATAGCCAATGAAATGCACGCTACGTCGTCCTTTCTTGCGATCTTGGTGCGGCAAATGGAGTTGGCGCCGGCGCAGCCAGGTTGAGAGAGGCTATGACGAAGGCTTCGTGCTAAGCGACTCACGAGGTGACAGTAAGAGCCCAGATATCCGATGAGGTGCCTTGAATCTTCTCATGATCATGCAAGGCTTCTTGAACCCGCGAGAAGCCAGAAGGTCCATGGAAGAAGCCACCAGTGTTTGTATACACAGCTCAACTTTGTACCAAGCTCGGACTGCACTCCTAATGACGTTCGGAAATCACAGTCGTGTCTCGTGAGCGCCTTCTGTGCCGCTGAACGGTACCGATGGATGGACGGCGGCTGCGTACAATGTGCGCAGGTTTGCTCTTGCGTCCTATTGGACGAGAGACATGCGACTCAGATTCCCGCGTCGATGCTCGAAGTTGGCATGTCGCTAGCTGTCTACGGCACCGAGCTACACTTTCTATGCTCCAAATCTATGACCCTCTATGCAGATCAAGTAAGCGACAGACGAATAAGCCGCCGAAAATTGCACGAATATTGGAGCTTACATGCCCATGTGCTTGGCGCCACCCAAGTGCCACCTCGGAGACGAATCGCGACCGCAGCGCTCGCCTGGAAGTAAAGCCGCAAACTTGGAGGAGACATGTAGTACAGTACGCCGACCGAGGTCTCGTCCCATGGCACCTTGCTGACGCTGTTGTTGCTCCGAGCTCCTTCCGGTGCCAAGGATGCCGAGTCGATTGTATGGGCGGTGACACCAAGGAGGGTATCGTAGAAGGCGTCGTCGTCGCTTAATAGTGCATGGTTACCCAAGAACCACCGGCCGACCCTACGTGGCCCTCTCGTTCCGTGATCGAGCATGGTGTGGGGAGAGAGAAGAGAAATTTGTTTCAGTGTTGCTAGCCCTTTTGCGAAAACAAGGCACGCCACGCTCACTCGCCTAGCACAAAATGCCATTCAATGCCGCGAGATGACGCCACAACGTCGTCCGAAATGAGTGGAAACACCGAATGCAAGTGTGAGCTTCCGGTCTACCGTATTTGGACCACTTTTACTGGTGGACTGCATGAGAACGGTGACCCGGATGGTGATCCGATGACGCCGATCGGGTCCAGGGTCCAGGATCGGGTCCAGGATCGGGTCGTGGAAAACCGGTTAGTCAGGCCTAACCCTAGCGGCTTTGTAGTGACCACCAACCTTGTATGCACCCCGAAATGGTTTCCGTTCCGACTGCATGTGTAATAGGCGGGTCGGCGTAGCTCTCATACAATACCGACAGCATGAGGAGCTTGCTCACGTGGTGCGAAAGTCAATGGCGTCAGCTTTGCTGGCGAGCAGATTTTGTTTGTTCTCTCTCGTCGACGACATCCTGTCAATGGTCAAAGGGGAATCGCTTTCGAAGCACACGCAATATTCAAGTCGTACACATCGCTCGCCTGTCTCCATGCGACGTCTGCCTACATGCTGAGGCTCGCGTCCATCTCTTCTTCCTTCGTCTCTTCGCGCTGCCGTCCATTGCGCTCGTGGTACTAGGCACACATTTCATCGTCAGCTCCTCATTCTTCGCGCCATCCGTGCAACAATACCTTCTGCAGCCAGTAGTACTCGCTCGACTGCGGGCCGCCCATGGCCATGGTGATGGCCTGTGACTGGAGCAGCTGGTGCGAGAGCGACATGGGCTGGAACATGGACTCGCGCAGCGTCGCACTCTCGAGCAGCGAGTCGCCCATGCGCAGCGACTTGTCCATTTCCTCGCCGCGGAACCGCGTCAGGTCCGCGGCCAATCGCTCGCCTTCGGCCGGGCCCATCCAGGACGGGTGGTTGGCCTTGAAGTTGAGGAACGAGCTCTCCATCTTGGGCTCGGCGCCGTACGTATTAAAGTCAAACTCGGCGTACCGACAGACCGCACCGACGCCCGATAGCGTCGTCGTGTGGTCTTGGCAGAAGGCAACGATGTCGTCGGCTAATGGCGGCAAGGCGAGGCAGAGCATGTACGGAGTCAGAAGCACCGAGACGCACTCTTCGAGGAAGAGCACGGCCTTGTACGGGAAGAGCGTGAGGAGCGCGTCGCGCGTCGCATACGTGTGGCAGTGCCTAAAACTCCACTTCATCAATATCCATCATGTATCAAGGTATCAAGTCTACCCCTTCCACTCGGGCGGCGAGTAGTGCGTCTCGGCAGCGAGGCGCGCCATGGCGTCTTCGCAGTTCTCGCCCGTCATGAAGCGCGGTGTTGCGTGGAAGGTCCGTGCGAGCGCAAATACGCCGGTCGCGACCGTGAGGTACCACAGCAGTTGGCGCTGGCCGAGCTCGACCTCGAGCAAAATGCTCTCTTCGACGACACTCAGTGCGACGAGGACGCCCATGATCGAGCCGGCACAGAACGAGACGCCGGTCGCGAGAATCGACACGACGCCCGCGGGGAAGAGCGCCAGGTAGGCCTCGGCCGCCGGGTACGCTTGGCCCATGCGCGTGTCAAACACATGCGGCAGCTCGTTGTACTCGCGGAAGGTCCACATTGCGAGCGGACTCCACCGGCGCGCGCTGAGGTACGATGTCTTGTGCAAATACCACTCTTGCGTCGAGAGAAGGAAAAACTGAATGACGCGGAAGAGCAGCAGGAACGGCGTGAGCACAAGGTTAATCACGCCGACGGTCACGAGCCGCTTCTCCAAGGCCTTGGCGTCGCGGAGCCCGAGGTGGCCGCTGGCGTCGAAGAGGTGGTCGAGCACGCACACATGGAGGTTCCACTCCATGTTGCGCGAGAAGAGCACGTGCGACGACATGGTCGGAAACCACGTTGGCAGCGGCAGTGACACTTGCAAGAGCGGCGAATTGAGAAACGCGATAAGGTAGTTTCCTTGCGCATGATGCGCCGGGCCGCATCGAGCGGCGTCGCGAGCAGTTGCGGGTCGATCTGCAGCTCGTATGCATCGCTTGCTGCGTGCTGGGGCGATTTCGGGGCCTTTGGCGCGGGCAGCAGCGCAAGGACTTGGGCGAGCACCTCGTCCCACTTCATCGTCTGCACTTGGCGGGCATCGATGCGCAGCTTCTCCGTGTAGAACGTGTGCATGTCGAGTGCGTCCCGTGCGCTCGAGGCAAACGCCATGAGCCGCGTGACCCAGTACATGAGAAAGAGCAGAAAGTAGAAGAGCACGATGGTCGCAAAGAGAGACCGGCGCATGTCAAAGGTTACAAAGGCCGAGAGCGGCTGCTTGCACCCGACGATCTCGTCTTGGTTGCAGTTGGCGAGGCTCGACCAGTCGAGGCAGCCAAGCAGGAACGTCGAGAGGCAGACGGTGAAGAGAATGTTGAAGAGCGAGACGAGCTCCTTGCACACGTAGCACGCGACGCCGCCGTGGTAGTAGTAGTTGTACAGACCCGTGAGGAACGCGTCGACGTTCTCGACACGGCCGTGCGCGTCGGGTACGTGGCGGCCACGCGATGAGACGCTGCTCTTGATCGCGGCCAACGACGGCATGTTCAAGTGGCGCCGGAGGTCCACGCTTCCCGACGCCGCCTTTCGGCGCATGGACGGGCTGTCCAGCGGCTCGTACGTCGGCGGGCGGATGTTGTTGCGCAGTGGCGAGCCAAACTTGAAGAGGTTTAGCGATATCGGCGACGCTTCGGCCGCGGGCGGCTGGCCGTGCAGCTCGGCCCAGAGCGCGTCCGCGTCTTCGGCCGAGCGCGATCGGTTCTTCAGCGGGGCAGCGTCGGGCCCGAGGAGCGGGCGGTACGCAGCGTGGGGGTCGTACTCGCCCTCGGCCTCAGCTCGCTCCATGTCGTCGAGGAGCGCGTCGTTCATCCTCCAAGATGCGCCCGAAAGGCCTTTTTTCTCGGTGCGTAAGTTTCGCGATCGGAACCCTCGATAGAAGCACAACTGGATTCTGCCCATTTGTCCCGATTTCGAACATGGGTTATTCTGCTGGGATTAAAGGAAAATCCCATAAGAACCATCACTCGACAAGCTCACTCGATAACAACACCACTGTCTTAGATCTTAGTTGTTCAAGGGTTGCCTGCATCCATCGGTTTGGCTCAATTTACGCTCAATGCATGGTGGTGGACAAGTGCGAGACGACTAACTAGCGGCGAGGAGGAGGCAGTATGGTCTGTGTGCGGTGTTTGGACATCGCACCCCAGAGTGTACTGGATCGCGGGCCCTGTGCCACTGAAAGGAACGAAGCCATGCTAATAACGAGGATTGATAGAGGTACAGAACCTAATCGTGATCGCAAACAAATTCCTTGTGGGCTTGATAATTATCAAGTCCAAGCAGAGAGAGTGGTGGCTTGCATTTCAAGTGGCGAATCAAACCACCGGAACGAGTCTGGTGATCCCCGACTGCGGAGTCGTTTTGCCAAATGAGTCTCTTTGCTTGGATCCGCGGGCGCGACCGAGCCGGCGCAGGTAGTTTCGGATGCTGATCTAACACAGGAGGAAACAGCACTTGGTTCGTCCGACATGAGACTTGCGCTAACGTTAATGCAACACACCGATGAGACGTTCGTTCGGCCGCCGCATTCCACATCTAGAACGTGACCTGAATCAAACGTTGGCAACTGAGGCAAGCGATGCATGTACTACAAGTCGATCAAAAAATCAATCAAACGTGTTCGCGTTGAAATCAAGTTACAATACAATTGTAGCAGAAACTAACTCAAAGACTTCGCATACGTAGCGGTACGCCTGAATTCGTGGGAGTTGGCACCAGCACTTGGTCGTTGGGAGTGAGCTGCGCACGGAGAGATCCATCCCGTGGGGGACCCCATTCGCCGAGGGTTAGCTCGCTCGAGGTGTACTACAAGTCAGGCTCGATATATGGAGGCTTGGCAAAAAGCTGGCTAGGGCGTCGTCCTTCCGATAAAAAGTCGCTCAATTAAGGGACGAGAGTGGTGGCCTTAGCGCAATGTCGTCTCAACACGAAGAACTACAGATTCGAGGCGACGACCCTTCTTGGAGGACGTGGTGGTCTTACGACGTTCAGAGCCTAGTACAACCGCCCGAGCTCTCTGTGGTCGAAGCTCGAGAGCGTCGAGACGCCACCGCGCAGCTTGTCGTTTGACATACCGATATAGGTCTTCACGACACGTTGAGAGGCCACTAGGAGGGCCGCGCGCAATGAGCTTAGCATTGGAAAAGTGTCACCGGCAGGCGCTTGTTTTGCAATTAACAGAATTAAAAAAGATATTCCTCGCTAGAAGATGCCTCCGCCCGGGATTGAACCGGGGACCTTCTGTTTACAAGACAGATGCTCTACCACTGAGCCACAAAGGCGAGGCGAAATCAAAAAATTATTGCTTTTATCAGTCAAATGTTCTTAGCCTAGAAATCGCTAACTGTAAGTGCGAACAAAATTTGATGGGACATTGGAGCCCCCACTTGATCCTTCGCATGGGACAAGCTCTGGCTGCAAGATCGCTACACGCGTAGTACCGACTGCGCAAACGACAGGTGCTGGATTAAAGTTAAAGTAGGAGGAGGATACGAGTTGACGACGGGCCATTCATCTTGCTGCCAGCGACGACGGGATGTTGAGCACGTCGAAGTCCTTGAGCGAGTTGATGGTACCGTTGAGGATCATGAACGAGCCGACAATCTGGGACGTGCGGATGGCGAGGCCCTTGGGGAAGAAGAACGCGAGCATCGATGCGCTCACGCGGCGCGCGAGTGGCGACTTGATGTTGTTCGGAACGCGGCTTTCGGCGTGGTCGACGAGGTCCTTCATGTGGTGCATGTACGACTTTTGCGGGTTCATGAGCTTGAGCGTCGAGAGGTTGTGCGGCACGTGCGAAAAGTAGCCCGAGACAACACCGGCGCAGAGACTGCCGAGCGCGTTCCGGAGCACGGGGCTCTCGTCGTCGATTGGGATACGTTCCTCAAAGTAGTCGGAAAGCTGGTTCAAGCCGACGCCAAAGATGATCTCACGCACGGCGCGGGGCATGAGACCGCGGATCCATCGCGTGTGCAACGGCTCGGGGTTCATGTGGCCGGCGTTACAGGCCTCGAGCATGCTGCTCACGGGTGTCATGAGGATACCCGGGAGAATGGCCTCGACAAGGCGCACGGCTTCCGGGTTCTCGTAGTCGTCGGCGTCAATGTTGTTTTCAAAGAAATGGCGCAAGCCCTTGAAGCCGTTGATGTAGGCCACGCGCGTCGGGATCTGCACGCCCATGTTGGGGAAGAGCGTCGCCGGCGCCTGGCCCGTGAGCTTGGCATTCAAGTACGAGTTGAGCGCACTGCGGTAAAAGCTTTCGACGGCGGCGGCGACCGACGTGGCAAAGATCGGCGTCGGCTTGGCGTGCTGCTCGAGGAGCGGCGTCTGGAGAAGGTTCATGTGGCGGCGAATCTCGCGATGGAGCGAGTACATGACGTCCGGCGCAATTTCGGGGTCCAATAGCGCCTTTGTGAGCACGTCCGAGTCCATCTTGTAGCCAAAGACTGGCGTCGCGCACTTGGCGGTCGCGGCCGACGCATCGCGGCGCAAGACGTGGTTGCTTCCGAGCGCATTGCCCGGCGTAATGTCGCCCCACGAGTGCATTTGGCCCGAGATCTCCTTGGTCTCCTGGATGACACCGCTCGAGACGACGACGAGGCTCTCCATGGGCACGCCCTGCCGCGAGAGCACGTGGCCCTTGGGGTACGAGACCGGCGCGGCTTGCGCGCAGAGCTTCTTGAGCGCTGCGTCGCTGCAGTACGAGAACATGCGTACGGAGCCAAACTTGTTGATGCAGTCGACCTCTTGTTCCTTGGAGAGACCCATGTCGCCGAGAAAAGCAGAGAAAAGAGCGGCGGTGGTGGGGATCGAAGTGGCGGCGGCAGGTGGGCGCTCCGCGGACAAATGAATTCTGTCGCCACCGGTCCCAAACGTTCGCTCCGCAGTCGCGCAGCCAATCAGAACGCTTTCATCCGTGGCTGCGTAGGATACGCTGGGGGCCCCGCCCCGGGGTCCTGGGACACGGCGCGATTACCAAACGCTCCGGACACGGCGTGTACTTGGCATTTGTATACATCGGCCAAAGGTTCCGCGCGCATCCAGGGCGTGGGGGGACCCGGGGCACGGAACGAATCTCATGGGACAGCGGCGCCACACGAATTTTTTATCGTATGCATACAAACTTCAAGAAGAGGCAATAAAATGATCGCTCAAAAACCAAATACGTGGCAATCCGCAGCTGATGCAAAGCTTGAAGCTGGCGCCACTCTCACATCCCCACAAGCACATGCGAGCGTACGCAGTCGAGATACCTTGACGCGTTGAAGCCCGTGCGTGCTACAGACAATTAGTCGTGTACCCCGTAGCTTCGAACCCGCGAAATCCAGTGCGCGGTAGAAAAGCCGGACGCGCGATCTTTCCAGAAGGCCGAGGAGCTTCGAAAAGACGCCGCCGTCGACGCGCGTCTTGGGTGCGTTTTGCGCACGGCTTCAGAATCTCGACCCGTCGTAGGTGCACCGTTGGACTTGAATGGACCGCGCCCCCTCCCACTTGGACGAAACCCGAAGAGACCTCAAAAAGTAGCTGCGTCGCGCTGCCACGTCATGTCCCACGGAGGGTTCCATGGCCGATTCTCTGGGCACTTGCTATCGCCCGCCGCACAGATTGCGGGATTTTCGCCGCGTCTCGCCGCCGAGACCGACAAGGCGTCGTCGGCTGGCACGACGACGAGGACGAGCCTGCCCGAGCCATGGGTGCTACCACTGCCGCCGCCAAAGCGCTACCGACGCGATCGCGCCAAGCGTATATCGCCCATCCCGCGCGAATCTTGGTGCTACTGGGTGCCACCACCATCAAGCGTCCTTACACGCTTGCCACAAAGGTGTAGTACATGTGCAACGAGGTCATTTCTTCATAGCTTACTGCTCGAGGTCGCACGCGACCGTGAACGAAGCCGCGAGCGGGTGCGTCCAGTTGTCGCTGTACACGTCGACGTGCGTGTCGGGCTGGAGCAGCACGACAAAGTCGCCGGCTTCGGCCACGCGCTTAAAGCCGGCGCCAATCTGCGGCGCAAAGACGCTATAGTCGGCAAAGCGGAGCGTCAGCGTCACCACGCGGCTCTCGCCCACGTCGAGCGCAATCTTTTCAAACTTCTTGAGCTGCTTGACTTCGGGCACGGCCATCGTGCGGAACGGCTGCGTCACAAAGAGCATCACCACGTCCTTGCCCGCCATGTTGCCCGTGTTGGTCACCGTCACGCTCACGTCCAGCGTGTCGTCGACGCTCTCGAGGCGCGTCGTGCTCAAGCGGAAATCGCTGTACGCAAAGCTCGTGTAGCTGCGACCGGCGCCAAACGGCCACTCGACGCCAATGTCCTGGTCCGTCATGCGCACCATCGTGCGGCGGTTGTACTGCGCGAGGATGTTGGCATGGTCCTTCGGGTACGTGATCGGGAGGCGGCCGCTCGGGTTGACGTCGCCAAACACAATGTCGGCGATCGCTTGGCCGCCCACCTCGCCCGGCAGCATCGCATGCACCACCGCCTGCACCTCGTTGACGAGGCCGTGGAGGAGGCGAGGCCGGCCCTCAACGAGCACGAGGATCACCTTGGTGCCCGTGGCCGCAATCTGACGCACATACTCCCGCTGCCCGACCGGCAAGTCGAGGCACGCAATGTCGCCCGGCTTTTCGCAGTACGAGCCTTCGCCGACCGTCACAATCGTGTACGTCGCCGCCGCCGCGTGCGCCAAGACCGTGTCCATCTCCGAGATGCTGCCGTCGGCGGCCAGGCCGTTAAAGAACGTCGCGGAAGGCGACAGGCGTAGCACGCCGTCCTTGAGCGAGACGCCGTGGGCAAACTGGTGGTTGCCAGAGACGCCCTGCCACTGCACCGTCCAGCCGCCGCAGAGGAACCCGACATTGTCGGCCGCGTGGCCCGTCACAAAGACACTCGCGTCCTTGGGCAGCGGCAGCACGTCATCCTTGTTTTCAAGCAGCACAATCGACTCGTGCGCCATGGCGAGCGCCGCCGCCTTGCTCTCGTCGCTGCCAACCACGTTGCCGGCGCCCGGCACCGGCGTCTCGTACAAACCGAGCTCGACCTTGAGGCGCACAATGCGGGCGACCGACTCGCGCAGGCGAGCTTCGAGCGCAGGCTGCGCAGCGATGAGCGCTTTCGTATGCTCGATAAACGTCGTCTCGAACGGCACCATGCTCATGTCGATCGACGTGCGCGTGAGCGCGAGGCGGACCGCGTCGGCCTTCGACTTGGCGACGCGGTGGGCCGTGTGGAGGTTGTTGATCTCGTCCCAGTCCGTCACCACCATGCCTTCGTACGCCATGTCGTGGCGCAGCAGGTCGTTCATGAGCTTGGTGTTGATCATGGTCGGCACGTCGTTGACCGAGACGTAGTTTTCCATGATGGTCTTGGCGCCCGCTTCGATCGCCATCAAAAACGGCAGCGCAAAGTGATTCAAAAGCTCGTAATCCGAGACCGTGACCGGGTCTTTGTCGTGCCCGAGGCTGCTCTTCGAGTACCCGATAAAGTGCTTGAGGCACGCAGCCGTCTGTGGGTTGCTCTGCATGCCCTCGACGATCGCTGCGCCCATGACGCCAACCACATACGGGTCCTCGCCAAACGTCTCAAACGTGCGTGGCCACAGCGGGTTCTTCGAGACGTCCAGAATCGGCGCAAAGATCCACGGAATGCCGGCGGCCTCCGTGTCGTAGCCCGTGATGCGGCCCATCTCGCGCACGAGCGATGGGTTGAACGTCGCCGCGCCGTTGATCTGTTGGCCAAAGACGACCGCGTCCCGGACGTAGATCGCGCCGTGCACAGAGTCAATGCCGTACACGATCGGGTGCCCGTCGTTCTCTTCCATGTGGATCGACTGGATCGTCTCGAGAATGTGACGCCACTCGTCGGTCGAGTAGCCGAGCTTGCCGTCGGCCGCCGGCCCGCCGTTGAACGGGCTGTTGAGGTACGAGCCAATCTTGAGCTTCGCAAAGTGGCGCACCTTCTCGACGTTGATCGTCTTGTCGTCGTCGTTGAGCAGCATCGAAATGTCGAGCTGCGTCATTTGGCCAACGAGGGCATCGAGGTCCTAGGATGCCATGAGGTAGCATGCAAAGGCGGCGTGTGCGAGGTGTACCATGGAGGCGACGAGGTCGCGGACGCGCGCTTCGACGTCGGGGTGCTGCGGCGGGTAGACCATGCTAACTGCTAACTGCAGGCAAGTGCGGAAGTGAGAACGACGTCGCTGCCCAACGGCAACATCCGAATCCGGCCTGTATCGAAGAGACACGATCGCGACGCCTAATTAGGACGTGGCGCCTGTGGGTACAGCGTGGCCCACGCCTTGAACTTCAAGCTCGGACCCGCGCACCCGCTATCCGACAGGCAGGGCTGCCGTCAGAGCCTTGGCATGCATCTCTGGCTGCACGGCCGCGCACGCACAGCAGCTCGCGATCCTTGCGCCGCAGCTGCTCCCTATCCAACCGCCGACGGCGCGACGGCATCGGCTGGTTCTTGGTAGCGTGGTCCTGCAAAGCACCGGCTACGCCATGGATCGAACGTGAGCTTTCTCTACGGCTTGGACGACGTCACATGCCACAACGCGCGCAGCCAGGATCGATGGGCAGATGAGGCACGTGCCCTGTCAACGCCCTGCGCTGTCTGCACATGCTATGTACTGCCGCCGCCCGTCCTCTCGTGGCATCCTGCATGGCTCCGCGTCCCCGCGCCGGCTAGATCTACAGGCTTTGTCGCCTCCGCCGGACCGTCGTACCCAGCCCGAGCTCGCTCGCTCTTCAATATAGTTCGGTTGCGACGAGGAGGCAAGATCTCGGCGGGCGCCAATGGCCTTGCGGCCGCTCTTTGTCTTGGTTGTTGTATGGGGCATGGCAAGCCTATTTAAATACGACTCAATAACTGGCGTTGAGTATGCGTATATTTTTCAAGAGAAAAAGAAATTGGGATTTCTGGATTTGTGTTGGAGATGGCAGACGACGGCTACAACCCCGAGAAGTCGCGCATCGCCGAGGACACGCTCGCCGACTTCCTCCGCGCGCCCTTGACGGGCGTCCTCACCGAGGTGCCGGGCATTGGCCCTGCGGCCGCCAAGAAGCTCGCCGGCGGCGACGACGTGGCCGACCAAGTGACCAACACGTTCCAGCTCATTGGCAAGTTCCTCTCGCTCAAGCGCAACGACGACGAGACCGACGAGCCGATCGACTGCCCGACGCACTGCGACGCCTTCTGGCACTGGCTCAAGTCCAAGGGCGTCTCGTCGTACCGCAGCGGTATCGTCATGGCGATCGCGGAGAAGGTCAACACGATGGTGCCGGGTGTTTACGACGCCTGCGACTTTAACTAGCTATCAATACGAGACGTGCTACGCCGACTTGGAGAGCGCTTCGATCTTCATGGCTTGCTCTTGGCTCATACTCGGGTCCACTTGCATGAGCGCCTCCCAGAGCGCGAGCTTGCGCGGTCGGTTCAAGCTCACAAACTACACGCATCGACCATGACGAGCATGTAACACGCAGAGCTGCTACCTTGTCCGTCTCGTCGTGTGAGGTGTACCGAAAGGCCGATGACTCGCGCAGCAAGCGGTCGGTCTCGAGCCGCTTGCGGCGAATCTGGAGCTGGATCTGCGCCAGCTGATGGCGGTACACCGACGACCCGGTGAGCGAGACGTTCAAAAGCGGTGGTATCGGCGCATGGCCGAACTGCGATGACGCTTGCGACGTCTCGTGAGGTGGCTGCCATGTCGGAGTTGGCACCGACGGCGGGTCCAACGGCGGCGACGGAGCACTCTGCGGGCCGAAATCGGCCTGGATCTGCACGTGGTTGCCTGTATATTGCGTACTCGCGTCCTTCATCTCTGCCTTTGGCCGCTCCGGAAGCTCGTACTCGCGCACGATCATGACGCGCGGGCGGCTGGTCTCGACTGGCGGCGCCGCAGGTACCGAGGTTGAGATCGTTGCTGTGGGTAGCGTCACCGTGGGCTCCACCAATGGACGTGGTGTTGGCAGCGTCGGTGCGGAGGACGCTGGCTCGACCATTGCAGCGGGCGCAGGAACGGGCGCCACACTGGGTGGGACCACGACTGCCGGCGCGACGACAAGATCGACGGAGGCCTCTTGGAACGACTCGTCGTCGTACGCAGGTGTCTCTTCCATTGCGGGCGCGGCTGGCTCGCTTGCGGCAAAGGACTCATCCCCGTAGTTGTCCTCGCTCGGCTCTTTGGCGACGCGCTCGAGTACGGGCTCGCTGGCCGCAAACGACTCGTCCCCGTAGTTGTCTCCGTCGCTCATCTCGCTGGCCACGGGCTGCACCGCGCTCGGCGCCATGGTGGTGGCCTTGGGGCCATCGTCGTTGTCGTCCTGGGAAAACTCCATCGAGTAGTCGTACGTAGGTTGCTCGCTGGCTTTGGTTGGCACCACAGTGCTCTTGGCAGGCGCATCGTCAACGTCCTCGTCCTCTTCCTCGACCATCGACGCCTCGTCGACCACGTCGTCGTCGTCGTAGGCGTCGCTTTCCTCCTCCTGCTTAGGTGGTGTCACAACGGGTATTGCCGCAGTAGCACGTGTCGGCGGCTGGTCGTCCTCGGACGCATCGTGAAACGACGGTGGGTCATCATCGTCGCTGTCGTCGGCCGTCCGCGTTGCTACAGCCGGGCGCGTCGACTGCACTTGCTGTACCGTAGGCACCGTTTTCGGGGCCGCAATCGTCGGTTGCCGCACCGGCTCGTCCTCGGACTCGTCCATGCTGATGTCGTCGAGCGTGACCTTGGATCGCGTTGGTGGCGCGTCCAAGCTGTCACTCACGTCGTCGTCATAGCGCGACACCGGCGCCTTCTTTGTAGTAGGCGGCTCCACGGACGCCTCGCTTGCCTCATCCTCGTCGCTGTCGTCCAAGGTCACGCGCCTAGTCGATGAGTGGCAACACATACCAGGCAGATGCATCGTCTACCGCCGCACGGGCTTCTCGATGGGCTTGGAGTACTTGGAGAGAAAGTTCTTGGCCTTATCGAGCGCATTCGACTGACTCGACGCTTTGGCCGGCGCGGCTTTGACCTTGGTTTTGGCTTTGGCTTTGGGCGGCGAGAGCGATGCGTCGCTCCTATCCTCGCTCGCCTCGTTGGACTCGTCGTCGTACTTGGTTTTGGCGCGGGAGGCGCCAGCAATGTCGATGGTAAAGTTGTACGGGTCGTCGTCGGCCATTGTATGAGCAGCTCGCCAACGGTGTCCCTCCAAGATCGCATACTAGGCTTAGCTCACGCCGTTTCTTTCTCCAAAATGCGCGCCTCGATCGCGCAACCAGCCATGCAGCGGTGCCAGCGGCCGCAGGTAATATCATTGCGATGCTGGATTATGCAGAGAGGGTACTTCATTTTACAGAAGACAGGGAGACACTTCAACGTGGCGGCGCGAAGGCGGAGAACTGTGGCTCTGGTGAATTCCAACTTCGTGATCAAGTCTGAGACCGCAATTGTGTCCACCTGGGTTCAAGTCGGGATGTCGTGAGGGCTGCCGTAGACTGTTCGATTGTAGCGCGAGGAAGAAGCGAGATTCTGTAGGTTTTGTAGTTTAGATTCACGGGTTTTAGACTATTGTTTGAACGAATCGAGTTGAAAGATGCCTCAGCTGGTACCCGAAATTTTTTCCACACGACGGAATTCAGAGGTATATGTTGTTCAGTTGATATCGTCATTGGCATCTATAGATATATATTGGTGGAGCATTGAATGGTCTGTGTACAGAATTCATCAGATCATCGTAGTCTTTTAGTGTATCCCCATGACTTGAGTCGGAATAACCATATAAAAGTGGATCATCACACGAAGCAGTAGAAAACCTCAGGAAACTATTGTCCTCATCACTCAGACATACGCTTGTTTTCAAGCATCATCGGTTCCCGTCCTAACTAATTCGACGACTTGCTACCTACAGTGGCGAATGGGAAATGATCATGAGAGCGAGATTCCAAAGAAATGACTGGCCACGCTCTACGCGGACCATCGATTGGCCAAAATACCAATGACCTGCGGTTGGTAGAATTATTTAGCATTGTAGCCAATAGAAAGCCACAATTTCATAAGCCAATCACATCCACCGTCGTCGCATGCCAGCCAATGACTGCTGCACCCGCCACGAGATCGTACCGGTACAAGCGCACCAAAATATCGACGACGGAATCGAAAGCGATCCAAGAGGCTAGAGCTACGATTACCGCCATTAGGTAGCAATAACACTGCGTCGAACAACACCCGAGTGTGTGTTGCGGCTTGGTCGCCCATGAACTAGAGAGACTTCTCCTAATGCAGGGCGTGGATATGCGTGCGCTAAGTCGCCTCGCTGTCGTCCGAGCGGGCAGGCACCGTTGGTACCTTTTGGTCGTTTTAAGAGGAAACATGGAAAGCTACGACCTATCGATTGGCCAGCACATGAACGGTCGCGTCTTGGATTGCCCAAGCTTGGGCAAAGTATACTGCTTCGTTATGGCGCCCTCGTCCTAAAAGTTCGAAAAGAAGGCGGCACAGAGGTTGCGGACGAAAGATACATTATACAGCGTTCGACTAATGGGGCCCGGAGAAGGGCCCGACAGCGCGTTGATAGAGTGAACGGCATCTCGCATTTTGCGCCCCAGAGCTCACATCGATCTCTGCCTTCTCTGTCATCGGTGTCTGTTCCCCGCCTTGTCTATCAACCATGAAGCTCTCTCGTGTCGCAGTCGTTGGCCTCCTCTTTGTGGCCGCCCGTACCACCCAAGTCAATGCCCAAGAGGCCTCCGACAAAACCTTATCGATCGACGAGGCCGCTGCGTCAACGTCGTTCTCTTCGGCGACTGCCGACTCTGAATCCATGTCTGCCACGGCGCCGGCGATTGAGTCAGCATCCGGTTCGGAAACCGGCAGTCTCTTCTCTCAAAGCTCGGAGACGGAGGGTCTATTCACGTACGACTCGCCGATGCAGAGTCCCGATGCCTATGGACCCGCACCGGTTGAACCCATGGTCGGTGGATATGGCAGCATCGACCACCTCTGGTGGGACAACCAAGACGTCGCGCAACCGGCCATGGAGGCGGGAGCGACGGAAGAGCAAGTTCGCTCGATTCTTACCGAAGTGAGCGGCACATCGTCCCATGACGACATCACGTCTGCCGTCATCGCCGCCGGTGTCGGAGAAGAGCTTGTCCCTTCTGTCGTCTACGCTTTCGAGTCTGCGTGGCAATCTTCCGGTTATGACCTATCTCCCCCCAATGACAGCCCGTCGTATGCCACGCCGGCCCCGGTGCTTGAAGTCATCCAGGCGGCGATTGAAGCCGGTGCCACGCCCCAGCAAGCCGCTGTCATCGCTGTCGCGGCCGACACGGGTGCTAGCCTCAACGCTATCGTCGAAACGGCCATCGCCGTCGGTGTCAGCCCGTCGGTCGCCGCTGCTGTCGCCTCAGCTGCCGACTCTGCGGCGGGCTCGGGTGCCGATGCCGTCACCAGTGCTCCTATCGCTGAAGTCATCGAGGCTGCCAAGGAGGCTGGTGCGTCGCCGGCCCAGGCTGCCGCTCTGGCCGATGCTGCGTCGTCGGGTGTCGCGGGCAGCGACCTCGTCGCCGTCGCCTTGCAGGTCGGTGTCAACGCGTTGGATGCCGTGAACGTCGCCGCTGCTGTCGAGATTGCGGTTGAGACGCCTGCGCCTATCATCGATATCATCCAAGCTGCGCTCGACTCGGGTGCGAGCCTCGGCCAGGCCGCTGCTATCGCGGTAGCCGTCAACTCGGGTGGCTCGCCTGCCGAGGTGCAAATCGCGGCGATCGAGGCCGGTGCTCCGCTCTCGGTTGCGTCGGCGGTCGCCTCGGCCGTATCGTCGTTCACGCAGTCGACGGCGGGTTCGTCGGATGCCACGCCGGCCCCGGTGCTTGAAGTCATCCAGGCGGCGATTGAAGCCGGTGCCACGCCCCAGCAAGCCGCTGTCATCGCTGTCGCGGCCGACACGGGTGCTAGCCTCAACGCTATCGTCGAAACGGCCATCGCCGTCGGTGTCAGCCCGTCGGTCGCCGCTGCTGTCGCCTCAGCTGCCGACTCTGCGGCGGGCTCGGGTGCCGATGCCGTCACCAGTGCTCCTATCGCTGAAGTCATCGAGGCTGCCAAGGAGGCTGGTGCGTCGCCGGCCCAGGCTGCCGCTCTGGCCGATGCTGCGTCGTCGGGTGTCGCGGGCAGCGACCTCGTCGCCGTCGCCCTGCAGGTCGGTGTCAACGCGTTGGATGCCGTGAACGTCGCCGCTGCTGTCGAGATTGCGGTTGAGACGCCTGCGCCTATCATCGATATCATCCAAGCTGCGCTCGACTCGGGTGCGAGCCTCGGCCAGGCCGCTGCTATCGCGGTAGCCGTCAACTCGGGTGGCTCGCCTGCCGAGGTGCAGATCGCGGCCATCGAGGCCGGTGCTCCGCTCTCGGTTGCGTCGGCGGTCGCCTCGGCCGTATCGTCGTTCACGCAGTCGACGGCGGGTTCGGCGGATGGTGCTTCTTTGTTTACAGACGGTTTCCTCGCCGCATCATCGTCCGTCGTCGCAATTGAGACCAAGCCGGTTGAATTGGTTGCACCGAGTGATCCCGAACATGCGACGGACACGAACTCTCCATCCGCGTACTTGTTCAACGATGTATCGACGCAAGCCACGGGATCGTCCAAGGGAGGAATTCTTAACGGTTTGATGGACAGCATTGTGAGTTACCTTTCCGACGCGCCGGCGCCTCCTCGTCTCCGTTCCCGCCCGCAGTGCGCGCCGACGGCCTAGGCGAGCGCATTGTCTATGTGGTATATGTTTATGTAAATTTACATAACCCTGAATGTTTTATTCTCATTTACTCGTATGATGGGCATAAAGACACGGACGCAAATATGTCTTTTAAGACCACTGATGATGGAAATATTGAGGCGCTAGGAAAGCAGCGGGAATCAGGGACAATACACCGTTTCACGATGCATTATGACAACGTCGGTGATTCGTCACCCTCGGCTTCAGGTCGAACACCAACTAGTTTGAGCTTCGAAGAGTCACACACTTGCAGTAACGTTAATTTTGCTTCTGCGAGACCTATATTACTAGCATATCAAAACGACCTTGGCGGTCACGTGTCTGCGTTCTCGAGCGCTGGCCATTGCGATAGACTGCCACCAACGGCCTCATCGAGTAATTGGCTCCAAATAGCGTCGAGGATCCGCGCCTCCGAGTCGACGGTGCTCTTGACGAGGCGAGATGTCACCGACGCAACGGCAGCGCCCGACGTATCGTCGAGTAAGAGTTCCTTCACGCTTTTCGGTACGTTGTCGACCGGCGGGCGCGCGGACGGCGCAGCATTCTCGCGCTGCCAATCTTGCATCAACCGCCGTCGTGCCGCTAACGTGCTTGCTGGAAGATCGACATCGACGTCGACCCCACCGACCAAAGCGGCATCGATTTGTTGCCAGTCAAACGCTTGACGCGCTTGCGTCATCAGGGTGTACTCGGCTTTGAATGCTGTCACGTCGCGCAGTGTGTCGGCTTTGAACACGGGCGCCATCGGTGGCGTCGATGGCCGTGGAACAGTCGTCTGCTGCGGGACTGGACGTCGAAGCGACAGCAGTGTGTCGTGCAGGACATCGCTAAAGATGTCATCCACGAGTCGATCGACGCGATCCGACGTGGCAGTGGCCATGTCGTCTGCCGTGTTGATGACATTTTCGTCGCCACTGTCGAGCTCGCCTTCGACATTGACGTACGTCGTCTCCACAGTGGCCGTACAGAGCACGTCTGCCCAGACGTCTTGCTCGATGTTGTGCCACAGCGCGGTGACAAGGGCGCCAATGTCGACGTGTGGCGTCGCTAGCAGCTCCTCGATGCGCTCGGACTTGACGCTCACAGAGGGTACTTGAGCTTGCTCCACGTAATCGTACGCGTCAAGCTGTGTTGAGGGAAGGTCCTGCGACGGTTGGTCTCGGCGTATAGGCGGCTCGGCAGCTTCCACAAATGAGAAATCAGCCAGCAAATCGATACGATGGTGTGCGCGACCGTCGCCGTCAACGGCATCATCGGCTATAAAGCTTGAAGATGATGAAGGACCGTCGTCGACAACTGCACTGCTCTCCGTGGCCACCGAGACGGGAACGGCGTTGTTTCTACTGGGCGGAGTGCACAGTGCGCGCGGCTCTTCCGCAATCTCCACGTAGTCGTACCCTTGAAACGCTAGATCTACTTCGCGAACCGTCGACGGCATCTCGACAGCTTCGACTTCGTAGTGGACGTCGATATCGCCCTCCAACGGCACCGAGTCGTCAAGAAGGTGCTGGTCTGAGAGAGCATCCGAATCTGCGCCGCCGCCATCTTGGCTGTCGATGTCCTCTCTCTCAGCGTCAGCCACCAACGTTCGCTCGGTTGAGCACACGTCATTTGTCGAGAGAGGGAGCGCGGACGAGGCCATCTCGACGTGATCGTACGAGGCAAATACGTCCGTGGGCGATTGAGACGCCGATGCAACCAACTCGGCAACCTCGACGTGGTCACACGCGTCCAGAAATGACATCGCCGTCGCCAGTTTTGGTGCCTCGGCGTCTTCAAGGTAGTCCATCGAAGTCATCGTGACATCGCCGATGTCACCGGAGGCATCGACCGGCGGTAAAGCGGCTTCGATGTAATCGAGCGTCTCCATTGTAGCGACTGTTTGCACCGACGTCTCTCTGAGCCAGTTGGCAGGCAGCGCGGCTTCGACGACGTCAAAACCGTCCAAGAGATCGACACTCGGTGGCTCGTCGTCGACAATACTAGAGAACGAGTCGTCAAGTACTTGCGGCGTCGTAGCCAGGCGTGGGACCGTCGGTGCCGGTGCAACGTCGATCGTTGGTGCCGCATCCAGCGCCAATGGAGCTACAACGATAGAAGGCTCGTCATCGTTGCCGTCATCTTGACTTCCAAAGGAAGCGTCGGCGACGTCGACGTCCGAAAGCGACTCGCCATCGACGACAGAGAGCTCCACGGAGCCGTCATCGTCATCAGCCAAGAGATCGTTGGTGGCATCATCGTTGTCCACGTGAGCTACCTCGGCGCCTCTTTCCTTCACCAAGATTGATGCGCTCTCACAGGGCGCGGCCTTCTCGGACGAAAAGCTTTCGTCGAGCGAAGCGTCGTCGCACGCCATCGCATCGGCTTCGTGGCTACCAGCAACTTCGTCGCTGGCGTCGTCGATTTGTGCCCTCTGAGGATTGTCGACGGTGGCCACGTCCTTGGAAGTTGCTTGCAGCGCAGCGAGTCGATCTGCCTCCGACACCACGAGCCGTTCGGTTTGATCCAATTGCACTTGGAGGGTCTCGATCGTTTCCTACATAAAGTTGAAGCTCATTCGATGCTACAGCAAGGTCTACGTGGATGAGAATCCTGCGCTCTTCCTTCGCGACGAGCGCTTGCACCGTCATGGCTTCCTGCTGCTTGGCTGCCACGGCCGCCTGGAGGTATCACATGACTGAGTGGGCTACATCAGATATCATTTGACGCACCTGAAGGGCTTGGAGTCTTTGCTCCTCTTCGTCCAAGCTCGAAGCCAGCGCTGGGACCACGGGCGCTGGCGTTATCACTCCATCGGGTGCCGCAGCAGTCTCAGCGACGTAGCCTCTAACATCAGTATGCTCTTCGTCGTCGCTGAACGAGTCCGAGTAGTCGTCGGGCTCGGGGGCAGCAGCCACCGTAGTGGCTGGGGCCGCCGACGGTGTTGCTGTATCTTGCGCCACCGAGACAAACACGGGTGTTTGCTTCGTAATCTCTTCATAAACGTTGAGCTGCAGCGAGTACGTGACCAAGTTGTCAATTGCGGCGAGCTCTGACAGCTTTGTGCCCGCGATGATTGCGTTTTTCTTGGCTTCGAGAAGGGCCAGCGCTTGAAGTTTGCGCCGAGTGTACTTGGCGTCTTCTTCTGCCGACACAAGCCGCGGGTGCGTCTGTTGGAGCTCGTCCAACGCCCGCCGTAGCTGCTCCGACGTGTTGCTCGCTGCTTCGCCGGAACCGCTCTTTGAACTCGATTCAAAATCATCGCCGTAGCCATCGTCGGCGTCGGCTTCAACCCCGGCAGCGACAGCTGGAGAGTCCACCGGAGCCGAACCGGACGCAAACTCATCTTGTGAATACTCGCCGTCGTCTTGGGCCGTCGTCTCGGCGTCGGCTACCGGTGCGTCATCGTCATAGTCGTCTTCCACTTCGGCCTCGGCCTCAGACGTCTCTGATGGGATATCAGCAATGTCGTCTTCGGGCTCGCTAGTCTCCACCGGCGCGTCGTCGTTCACGAGTGGATCGGCTGGAAGTGACGCACTGGGCACGTCGACAACCGAAACATCCGTGGCGCTGGCAGGTGCTTCAAACCCGTCGACCGAGTACACAAGCGACGCTTCGTCGACCGTGCTCTTGTGCTCCTCGAAATCGTCGTCCGAATAGACACCACTAACACCGACGTCGTCGGGTGTGTCGTTGACCGGCGTCGCCGGGTCGTCATCCTCCGCGACCGGTGCCTCCGACACGTCGGCCACGTCCTCCGAGGGCGCAGCAAAGTTGTCGCTCGAGTAGATCTCAGCGTCTTCTTTGGCCGACTCGTCATCGTCAATGCCATCCTCGTCCTCGTCAACGTCGTCAGGGACAGCATCATCGCGCACAGCCGTCTCGACGTCTGCGACAGCGTCGTCCACGACACCCGACTCCAGTCCAGTGTCATCCTTGGTGCTCGCTTCGTCATAGACGTCGGGTGGTGCTTCTTCGTCTGGCACCGACGCATCATCGTCTGGCACCGAGGCGTCGTCATCTGGCACCGAGGCGTCGTCGTTGTAGTCGTCGTCTTCGACACTAGCCTCGACCACCGTTTCGTCGTTGTTATCTTCAAGAACCTCGTTTGATGCATCTTTTGACGCTGCTTCGAACTCGTCTGCATAATCGTTGCTGCCTTGGGTCGAGCCGGCGGTGGTCTCAACCCGACGAGACGGTCCGGAGGGGGACAGTGACGGTGCAAGCACCGGTGTCCATGTCGCAAGCGAACCACCAAACGCCTCGGCCAGGACGCGGACCTCGTCTTGGCTCTCGGGCGGAAAGCACATCATGTCTTCATAGCACTTGGCGACGTTGGCCGTGCGAGCGCCGTCAAGATGCAGCTTTTCCATCTCCACTTGCCACGCCGAGAGAGCTCCGGCCGACGTCAAACGGGCGTACCGGAGCTCCAAGAGCTTGTCTTCGCTAGCTTTGCGCACCAGAATGTGGCGAATGTACTGAGCCTTGGTCGCGTCTCTCTGAGCTAGCGAACTCAAGTACGCTTCCACGCGCGGGCTCGGCGTGGCTGAGGCTGACAATGGTGTCAACGACGGCGTGTACGATGGCAGCGGCGTGTACGCTGTTGGTGCCAACGCGCCGGTTGTTTCGTGCGCCTCGTCGTCGATACTGCCAGACGATTCTTGCACTGGCGGTGGGTCCTCGAACGAGCCCACGTCGGCGTCGTCGTCGTCGTCTGGTACACTGGTGGCAATCGACCCTTTCCGCGGACTCTCAAACGCCTCCGAGTAGGCGTCATCGGCAACACTGCCGACGACCGACGCATGTCTCGGGCTCCCCGACACACTTTCGCCGTGCACGCTGTCGGCGACGGACGTCGGCTTCCGAGGGCTGGAAAAGGCCTCCGAGTACGCGTCATCTTCGCCGACTTGCTCGCCTTCATCGTCTGGTGTGGACAAAGTCATGGGAGGTTTTCCCGGACTTTCAAAGCCGTCCGAATAGATGGGCACGGCGTCGTCGTCAACTGTAGCATCGTTGACGTCGTTCGAGTAGATCGGAGCGTCGTCTTCTTCGACGATGGTATCGTCGACGTCGTCCGACACAATCGCAGCTGCCATATTCGCTACCGCACCGTCGTTCTCGTCCTCGTCGTCGATTATACTGTCGGCCATGGAGCTCTTACGCGGACTTTCAAAGCCCTCCGAGTACGCGCCGTCGTCGTCCGCAATCTCGTCTCCGTCACCGCCATCGAATTCAGGTGCTGCGTCATCGTCCACGTCTTCGTCGTCTTCAAGGATACTGTTGTCGACAACGGACGCCGGTCGCGCCACGCTGGCTTCGAACGCGTCCGAGTAGACTTGGCTCTCGTTGACTGCACTCTCCACATCAGCGTCGATGATGGCGCTACGTGCTATGGGTGCGTCTTCCTCTTCTTTGTCGTAGTCGACGTCGTCTTTCGCCGTCGGCTCGACGTGGACCCACTGCGTCGGTGTCGCTGCCTCGGCGTCAACGGTCAGTGCATCGCTCTGCACCGCGACGGACAACCGGAGCGCAAACTGCGTGCCACCGTCGCGCGCCTCGATAGCCATCGTGCCGGCGTCCTGACGCCACGTAGCTTCCGTGCCAGCATCGTGGCGAAGCGGGACCTCTGTTTGCACGGCCGTGTCCCGTTGTGCTTGGAGCCGCTCCTCGAGGAGGTCGCGCGCCTGCCGCAAGAGATTTTCGTCGTGCAGCTGGCTTTGATACGCCAGTGTGTCTTGCAAAAGCGCATGGGACTCGCAGAGGTGATCGACATCCGCACGCACTGCGTGACTCCAATCCAGCGTCTCGTCTTGCGTCTCTTGGACTTCGTGCGCGTGCTCGAGCGACTCGAGGTGCATCTGCGCTTCGTGCAGCGTTTCTTGAAACTCGACGGCCGCGAGCAGTTGTCGGGATAGAGTCCGCGGTGAAAACTGCCGCCGCTGCGCCATGACGTCCTCCTCTGTGACGATCGTGACGCGCGGCCGTCGGTGCAGAGCTGGTGCCATATCGTCGTCCTCGAGAAGCATATGGTCCCAATAGACGCGGGGCGGTGTCGTCTCGGCGGTGGATGCCTCGCGAGACAAGATGCGGTGCGCTTCGCTCAAGAGGGCTTCGACATCAGGGTCCATCGCGTACTGCGCCATGCCGTCTAAAGCACCTTCATCTGGAGCGTCCTCGTCTGACGCGCCCTTGTCTTGTCCTTCTTTAGGACGACCCGCCACTTGAGCACGATCCAAAAAGGCCGCCGGCCAGTCGTCGTGCTCGGAGACGCGAGCGCCATCACTGTTGTCGCTGCTTGAACGGACGAACGTATCGTCCGGTGATACCATGCAGCTGGGGCGCTGCTCGCGGTGACCGTCGTCGTCGTCGTCTTCCGTGTCCTCGACGGCTTCGAACCGAGGCGTTGGATATCGAAGCGCTTGCTGGTTTTGTTGCTGCTGCAAAAGCTCTTGTGCAAACATATCGACCACACTGTATGCGTCCCTCGAGGCTGCAATCAGACGGTCTAGATCATCATCGTCGTCGTCGTCGTTGTCGTCCGTCGCACGCACGAGTCTTTGAAACACGCTGCTGGCGGGGTAGCATCGGCGTCACGCGCCATGCCGAAGACGGTCGTTCGTCGACGAGAGACGGTCGACGTCGCCAGGACGGCGCTCCGTCACTGTCGTCATCGTCGTCTTCGCTCGTGTCTTGGTTGTTTGCTGCTGGCACACGCGATTGCATCGTCTCGGTGGTTGGCAAATCGTCGGAGGCGTCCGGCGCCTCTTGTGCCATAGGCGTCGGACGGTAAAACGCACTGGCGTCGAGCGACGACGCCGACGACGACACGGACGACGGCACCGACCGCGGCGGTGCCTCGGCGGGAATATAGACGGGCGGTTTGAACGGTGCCGGTAGCGCTTGCGGCGCGTACATCTCGAGCGCGGCTTCGATGCGCTCCTCCATTTCGGCCGTCGCCGTGTCCTGCCACTTGATCGGCACTATAGCCGGCGGAGGTGCGACCGGTGGCTGCGACAACTGCGATAACCGGTTCGTCAGCGAGTCGGTGAGCTGCTTGAGAGCATAGAGCTTGCGCAGTGCCGACGCGTCCTCTGGCTCGGTGCTTGCGCCGTCGTCGTCGTCGCTACTGTCGTTACTAGCATCGTCGTTCTCATCGTCGTTTTCAGCTTCCGACTGTGTGTCGTCGACTGGCGGATTGTTGGGCGGTGACGTGGGCCATGCGTTCGCATCCAGTCCATCCTCCGTGTCGACGCTCTCGTCGTCGTCGACGACGTCCGTCGGCCAGAACGCCCGTCCCGCCGATGGCCGTGTGTCCGAGCCCATGGCATGCTCTGTCGTAGACTGCATCTGGGCACGTACAAGTGTCTCCATGTGCTTGGTCTTTTTTGCCAGCGCCACCGAGTCGTGAAGCCGCTGAAGTCGAACCGTCTCGACGTGCTATACCCACCATGAGATAGCAGCTCTTGTTAACGACGGCTACCTGGAGCTTTGCGTAGCGCGCGCGTGCGTGCTCTGCTTCCGATTGTCTCTCGCGCCGTCGTTGCTTCTCGCGGTCTTGCTTTTGCTGCTCCATGAATACCCGCGCCGTAGCCCGGCGGGCTTTTAGCGATGCCTTTGACGTCTCGTCCACGGCGCTGGCGACGTCGACCGGTTGCTTTGTCGCAACAGCTCGCTTTTTTCGCTTGGGTATTGCGGGTGCTGGTGGCGGTGCCACCTCTTTCTGATTGCTGACGGGCGACGGCGGCACAACTGTTTTAGTGGACCGGCGCTTCCCGAGCCGTGGCACGGGTGGCTTCTTGGGCGGCAGGCTGACGACTGCGGTTGGCGTCCGGCTTTGTCGAGGCTGCTTCGGCAGCACCGGCGTAGGCTTTGTAAAGCGCTTCAAATTTTGCTCGCGGACGGTTTTGGCCATGTCGACGAGATGCTGGCGCTTGGCCGCTTCGCTCGCTGCCTTTTCTTTCGTCTGCGCATCGGCGTAGTGGGCTTCCTTGAGCCACCGAACGGCAGCCGTCCACCGGTCGTGCTCTTTCCTTCGGAGGTGCTCGCGGGAGAAACTTGGGGCCTCGACCTCGGCAGCGTGGGCTGGTGGAGCGTCGACAACAGAGCGGCGCCGCTTTGGCGGTTGGCTCAACGTGCATAGCACAGCAGGCGGCGGCGAAAGAGGTGTGTCCACCACAATAGGGCGAGGCTTTGGCTTGGCCGCGCGAGCGAACGGCGTTGCCGGCGGTGTCGGAATCACGATTGCGGCCGGGCGCGGCGGCGGTATGCGGGCTACCTTGGGCACCGTGACGACGGTCGGGACAAATCCGCTGCTTGGGCGACACGCAACGCTCGTCTCAATTCGCATTGCGGTCACGGCCTCGACGTCGAGCATCTACAAGAAGCGATGATGAGCGCAGCCGTGTCGGTGACGAGGATGCAGTGGATACCGTGGCCCGCGACGTTGACGCCCGACGCACCGGCGACGGCGCGTGTCGGTGCAGCGGCAACGCAGGCAGAGAAGAGGCCTCGTCGGCGTCGGCGCCGCTGATCCGTGCGAGCGACGCATGCGGCCGTCCGAAGCGGATCTGCACGGTGTCCATTCCGCGATCTTTTGGCCGCCAGCGACAAACGTCCGGATACGGGATGGATTTGTTTTATACGCCATGTTGAAAACGCCGCAACAGCCAGAGCCGCTACTAGGAGCCAACGCTCGTGGAGAGTACCAAACAGCAAATACGCACACGACTGCCATGTATCGTTTTCACACGGCAATTCGTCGTACATCGATACCGGTATGTACGCGGTGTGTAGGTTGGCTGCATAGTAGACACGGAACTGTTTAATACATGTTTTAATTCGTTCGACCGCATCCGGATGATCTTGCCACCCAGAAAGGGCAAAGTCGATTTTGAACGGCGCCGATGTCGTCCAAGCCAGCGCGCAAGACCCTGCGAGCCAAGGCGACGCGAGGCAAGGCGACGCTGCTGACCAGCCCGCCCGTGGACGCAGAGAGCTACAAACCCATTATCCAAGCTTTGCGCTCGATCAAGCAAGTGTTGCCGTTCACGTCGTTTGACCTGCCGACGCACCAGGGGCCCCTCCTGCGCGTTAGTACCATGGACGAGTACCTCGGCTGGCCGCTCTGCAACCACCAAGCTTACGAAGTTATGGCCACCTACATGGAGACCAAGGGTGTTGCCATCGTTCCGGCGGCGCAGCTCACGATCGAGAGCGACAACTGGAAGAGGTCGTTGAACGACGACGTGTTGCCGCGGCTAATCACCGGTCTGCAAGTGTACGCTCCAGTGTCTCTGTACTTGTCGCACTTGGCGCTCGACAGCATTGGATCCACCGATGCGCTCGTGCCAGCGACGAGCCGGCCCAACAGCTTTGGCTCGATTGCGATCTTGTTGCCGACAACCTACAGTGGTGGCGCGGTGACGTGCCGGGAGGGGATGTCCAGCAATACTATATGGGGCGATGCACCGGCGCTGACGCGCACCCACTGCGCTGCGATGGCGGCGACGACAACGGTGACGGTGGCGCCCATCACGTCGGGCCGCCGCGCCGTCCTAGTCTACCACCTCGTCTACGACAGCCCCGTCGAGAGTCCCCAGAGCGTGATCAGTAGTAGCATCGATGCGCTGCGTGGACTCGCGGCCAAGCTGCGCCACAAGCACAACCTCATTGGCTGCGTGCTAGAGCGCAACGCGCTGGACGCACTCTCGCACGGCGACAACCGATTTGCCCGCGCGCTGATGACGTCTGGCGCCTACGACGCTGTGCTCGTCGAGTACACAACCCACTGCTGCCACCATGTCGTTGCGTCCACCTACGCGCCCGCGCCAGGCATGCAGCTTCCATTTTCGCTGCTAGAAAGTGTGCTCAGCATGAAACCCGAGGTGTCCATCTCGATCGGTCACGCTACCGCCGGCCCCGACTGCTGCTCGATGCTGTTTTGGCTCAAGGCGCACCGCCACCGCGTCGTGTCGCTCCTACCAGCGCTGAAATACGCGGTGCACGGACGCCGTAGTGCCTGCTCGGTCGATGAGCTGCCGTCGACCGTGGATGGCCTGCCGTTTGACGCTGACACCACCGACGCCCTCCTTGGCCAAGCATCGCCCACCGCTCTCCTCGAAACTCTCTTGCCTCGCTTCGCCGACGCCGAAGAGCAGGGCACCACCAACTCCTACACCGAGTCGGTCGTGGCATGCTTTAAAGCGCTGCTTCGGCTCGGACGTCTCGACCTTGTCCAGCGCTTCGTCGGCATGTACCTCTGCGTGGACAGCGACTATGACCACGACACGGCTGTGGGACCGTGGATTCATCGCTGCCTCGAGACGTTTGGCTGGGAGCCGTTGGCGTCGGCAATCTACAGCATGCTCCGTCGGTGGCGAAGCACCAAGCTCGGCGTCTCGTGGGGCTACTGCCTTGTCGTGGACTTGGCGGGCGTCACTGAGGCCCCCGTGTGCTTACCGCTTCTCCAGCCATTCGCGACCGAGTGCATCACTGAAATGTGGACGCTTCTCGCCGAGGGCGCGCCCCTCTTTGCCGATTTCGAAGTCACGCCGTGGTACAATGTCATGACCATCGACATTTGCCGCCAAAGCTTGCAGCTCGAGGTGCACGCAGCGACTGCGTCCGTCGCCGACCGCTGGCTCTACAACCGCCTGCCCGACCTCATCGTCGCCAAGGTCGCATCGTACCTCGGACCCGCCAACCACGTACAGCGCCTTGCCGATATGAACGTGTTCCACCCGGTTTTCGACATGGCACTGGGTGTCGTCGCGCTGCTGGCGAAGCGCCAGAATGACGTCGCCCAGCGCTTTCTCCCGAGCGTCTTCGAGGGCATGGACCACTCTGGCGACCATGCGACGTACACGGTTGATGTCGCCTACAGCCTCTTGGTCTTGGCTGCCTTTGAAGGCGACGACGGCCGCTGGCGGAGCACGCTAAGCAAATGCGGCAACGAGCTCGGGATTGGCATGGCGCCTGCCCTGATTAGCTTTACCGAGCAGTGGCCGCAGCTCGCGACGGCACCGATTATCGACACGTGCGTGGCAGCCCTCTTGCATCACGCCACCGAATCGATCGAGCCGGTGTCAACGGTGCTCGGCCACTACGAGCCGGATGTGACACTCGATCGGATGAGCCCGACGTCCTTGATGCTCTTGGACGCCTTGTATTTTATCAGCGAACACAGTGCCACGGAGGCGGAAGCGGTCGCTCGTCGCGTCGCCGCGCATTTGACCGACCCCGACGATGCGCGCGAGATCCTGTACCCGGTCGTCGTCCACATGGACAAAGCGTCGCCCGCTTTCGCATGGCTCGCCAACGCCTTCCTCGACACACTCTCGTACTTGCGACATGGCGACAACCACTACGCGCTGCCGTTTCTCACCCACGAGACGGCCGACTGCTGCGACCAGTATGCTGCGGTTGCCGCCTTTTTGCTGGCGCCGGACGTGGCCGAGCTGCAGCTGCCCGCGGCGTCGTGCGTTCGCATCCATGCGCTTGTCCGCCGGTGCCCCGGGCACCTTCGGTGGGAGTCCACGGACGACGACGTCGCCAACGAAGCGTCGCGTCTCGTCAAGCGGCGACCGCCGCACCACCGGGGGCCACCGGAAGCACACCTTGTTGAGGCATATACGCGGGATGCAAAGATGGCGGCGACCGTGCATGCGCTTCTGGAAGACAACATGTATGCAATCCGCCATCTCTTTCACGACGCATGATGATGATGCGCTGGTCGACCAGATACCGGTTCCGGTTTTTTTACATTCCAATTGTAAAAGCGTTAAAAACAAACGTTTACTGTTGTTGTGCTCGTGCGACGATGTCCCGCGTGGACTCCTTGTCGACTTGGCTGAGAACGGACTTGTTATGATTGCAGAATGCTGCTGCATTGGTGCGGTTGCGACGTGTCTGGTAGTGGTGTCGATGCCGGCAGCGTCGTCAGTCAGTCTCGCGCAGTTCAAAACACATGTTGTCGGAATGATATGTGGCTGCCGGTTAGTGTTTCATACCCCCGTTTCCAAGTGTAGGTAGATGGCTGGACGAGATGTAACGGCGGGTATGTCACGATGACATCGTTTCATTCCGATGTTGTGAGCCTTCGACAACGTCGTTGACGTGAAGAGGGAAAATTCCTGTCGATATCTCTACTATTAGTATAGGCTAGCGACTTGGACACTGATTTGCCACCACAGTATGCAGAGTCAGATTCGATTCCTGGTGGGTCCCTTCTTTCGGAACATTGGAAAGGACTGGTAGGAGCGACGCGCCTCGTCTTCACCACCGATGGACGCGAACGTAGAGGCAGAGAACATGTATTCACTCGACACATGCATGACATCCAATCGGTTTCCCACACAAGTCCTACCCCAAGGTCGTTCCACTCGTTTCTTCGCTCGCCATCGCCGTCTTCATGAGCTCTTCCACGACGCCGCGTCGGTACACGGTCGACGTCGACGTCGTCTTCGACTGCTTCAGGCGCATGCCGAGCTCACTTGGCAAGAGCTGACCCGGTTGGCGCACCTTGATAATGTCGACGATGAGCGTGGGGGCGGCGGTCGTGTAGCCAATGGCGTTGCCCCACATGGTCACGTCGTCCAACTCCAAGACACTGTGCTTCAGCGTCCGAAGCTGCAGCGGGTGCGCCGACACAATCTCCGCAATGGACGCGCAGAGATGCTCGAGGCAAAACCGGTGCTCGACTTTTAACGGCGCTAGCAAAAAGTGTCCAAAGTCGCCGCAGTTGGTGCAGCACGCTTCCGGGACGGCAATCGCATCCAGACAGTAGTCGGTGTAGACGACGCTATCCCGGTACGCCGTCGCGTCCAGATACGCCTGCCCGAGGCGCGCAAGTAGTTTGTTCGCTTCGAGGCCGAGCGTCGACTGCACGAGCACGATGACGTCGTACAATCGCGTCGCACTCGGGCGGGCCGCGAGCCACTTGTCCGTGAAGTCACTCAGGTGCCCGGCGTCGTGGGTCCGAAAAAAAGCAAACGCGCTCGCGACCACGCTGGTCCGGGGGCCGTGGCCACGGTGCTGTGGCAGCGGCTCAAAGTACGCGCGGAGAATCGCGTCCATGGACGGCAGCGCGCTCTCGTTGCGCACGGTCGTGTCGAGAATCACCGCCGACGCCATCGCGCAAAAGGCCGGCGTCAGAAGCGCCGGGCACTGGTTCGCGACCGCGACCAGCGCCGGCACAACCACAAGCTCCCGGTCGATGACACATTGCCGCAGCACCGCATCCAGGTGCTCGGTGCGGGCGCCTGCCACGATGAGGCCCATGACGGTGTGCACGTTGTAGCGGACGTCGTCGTAGTCGTACTCGCCACCCAAGAAGCTTTGCACGACGACCGCTGCATACCAATAGTCGTTCAGAGCGAGTTTTTGGGCTTGGACGGCAAAAAGCGCGGCGCCAACGTCGTAGAGCGGGTCGTAGAGCTTGCGCTCGACGAGACGTAGCATCGACTCACGTGGCTTGAGAAACGACGAGATGAGCGCCACGATCGCGTCGGGCAGCCGGTGGCGCAGCCACCGACCACGGACGACGTGCTGCTGCGCGTACGCCTCGAGCTGCAGAACCCGCGTGCAGTTGGCACCGAGGCTGTCGTCCTCGACGTCCCGCCGGGCGACGACGTCGAGCAGCAGCACCCGCGCGTCCAGGTAGAGCTCGGCCACAAAAGGCTGCACCACCGGGTCGCAAATGGGCTCGTGCGAGACGCCGGCGAGGCTCACGACCAGCGCGTAGCTCGCGCTACTGCCAAGCGACGTGGCGCACCACCGGCGCAGCATGCAGAGAAAAGCAGGCCCGAGGTACTCCCAGCCAAACGCAGCGCAGAAGCGCGGCAGCCACGGCGCGGTGTGGAGCACGTCGACCGGACTCCAGTGCTGGCGCATAAAGTGCGCGACAAGAGCACGGTCGTATAGGTAGAAGAGCGTCTCACTGAGCACGTTTGTGAGCTCGACGCTTTGGCTGATGTCCATGCTGGCGTTCGGAGGCCGATGCAATAGCGCTTGTACGAGCGACCGCAGATCCGCCTGCCCGAGGAGTGTCTCGAGCGAATGAACGGCGCCTGGTGCAATGGCAGCGACGAGTGTCTCGACCACGCTCGCTCTATTGGCCAACTGCACGCGGAAACCCTTGCGCCAAAAGATGAGCCACTGGCCTGGCATGCAGCGCACGTCGACGCGGGCGTCCGTAAACAGAATCGCGTCGACCGTCACGTTGCAGCGGCTTTCGCAGTTGGGCAGGCGCACCGCGACGGTCGTTGTGCTCACTTTGCGGCCAATATTCTCGGGCCCACGTGCGCCTTCCGGCTGGACCTTGTTGATGAGGGCAACGTCGTACACATCCGTCTCGACGAGCGCGTCGGCGAAAGCGCGGTCGCCGGGTGCGAGGCCCTCAACGCCTCGCGACGTAGGTGCCGTCGGACGAAGCGCGAAGACGTTCAGCGTGTGTGACGGCGCTGCGGCCAGTGACTGCAACGTTGCCGTCGCCGCCTGAATAGTCGTTTGCGCGGGGCCGTCCGAGGCCACGACATGGTAGACCACAGAGACGCGTTGACCGTGGATCAGCGGCGCGATGAGGTAGTTGGCGTCGGGCGCAAACACGGCGCAGACGTGTGTTGTCGTCGCATGCTGGGTGCAAAACGAGCGGTGACGGCCGCCAGCAAAGGTCACGTTGCCACCGCGATGGAACGTCGGTAGCGAGATGACGACCGTCCCGATCGTGTGCGGCGGTCGCGAGGCTGGCGTGAGGCACGCCGACGAGCCGGCCGCATCCAGCGCCACATGGGCCAGGGCGAGCTTGAAGGGCGAGGTCGGCGACAGCACTTGCCGCACGATCGGGTCAACGCGCGTCAAGGTCTTGCGCCATGCACTGGTATTTTCGATGCGCACGCTCATCGCTGGCACGAGCACGACGCCCGGCGAGTGCGTATACGCCACTGCAAGCCGGTCGACCTCGTGCACTGCAAGCGGCCACGCCAGCACGCTGGGCATCGTGTCGACGCGGAGCCGCAGCGCCACGCGGTACGGAAGCTCGAACGTATCGACCGCCGCCGTCAGCAATGGCGTCCGCAGCTGGGCGACGACGGCTTCATACGCGGCCTTGGCATCGCCTGCTCTTGCCATCTTCAAGCGGGCAAGTGGCAGAATGCGCATCTTGTTCGGTCATTTGTTTTAAACATGTACAAAACGCAGTTTTCGTCATACCTGTTCATAACCAGGAGTAGGGTCACAAGTCGAGAGTGGATGGTGGCATTGTGGCGCACGGACACTCGATGACATCGTCCTACAGCGGCTGCTCTCACTGCATCGGGTAGCCTCCCAGCCAGTAATCGTTGCTCGCTGAAGGCGCGAAGAAGCACGAAGTTGACGGCGCCCATTGGTATGCACCGCTGCAGAGAAGCCGGCTTTGGCAATGGCGTGAATGGAACCATCCTGGAGTTCGGGTATTAGTATGCGAGCGCGAAGCATGACGCGTCGTTACTAGTGTGTCAGGACCGGAAATGTGTTTTGATGGATAGGTAGCACAATCGTGCAACCGACTGCGAGACTACGTGATCAAAACTTGGTGCTACCCCAGCGAAGGGGCTGGTAGAAGTCGCAGAATGATGCTCTGTCGATGCGGCTGCGAGGTGACCACGATGTCTCGTGGCACGTAGCTCGGCTAGTGGTATCGATGCTGGTATCGCATGTACATAGGAGCTTGAGAAAAGGGTACAACTTGGCTGACTACCGACGCAGCTTTGATTAGCTACTCGTATACAAACGGGCAAGAATGACAAACGAGGCGCGCGTGGGGGTTTGTCGTCGACTCTTGTGCCCTTCAAAACACATGTTTCCTGGTCCATTATGTGGCCGCCCAAGCTTGCACAGAGCCGCTGCCACGTATTGGTCGGTGTTTGATACCCCCCAATCCCAAGGACTGTTTAAAACACCATCAAGGTCCCATTCGGATGAAGGGCCAATCACAGCGACCTTTGCCAGCAGTTGACGACAGCCGATCGATGGGCCGCCAACGCAAGACCCAGCGAGCTCCCATGCCGCTCCGCCGACTGCCAACCGGCAAGGAGCCCTATGAGGAGGCGATCCAGATCCTCCGCAACACTGCCACCTTTGTGCCGCAGCCGTGGCACACATTTGAGCTACCGCACTACGTCGAGCCGCTGCTGCGCGTCAGCACGATGGACGAGTGGCTTGGCTGGCCGCTCGGCAAGGCCCAGGCGCTCGAGGTCATGGACGCGTACACAACGTCGCCCGGCGTTGCGGTCGTGCCGGCGGCGCACCTCGCGGTCCAGAGCGCCGACTGGCATCACGCGTTGGACGTCGCCCGCCAGTACATTCGGACGATGTTCTCGCCGAGCGGGTCATTCTCGCTGCAGCTGTCGCACTTGCTGCTCGATGCGACCGGCGTATCACCGACCCCGTCGTTGCGACCTGCGGGCAGTATTGGCACCGTGGCCTTTCTGCTGCCGTCCCTGTTTACGGGCGGCGCCATGACGCTCACGAACGACGGAGCTACGCACGTCTGGCAGCCCAACGATACGTTTCTGACGCGGTTGCACTGCCTTGTCCAAGCAGCGTCATCCGACATCACGGTCGATCGCATCACGAGCGGTCGGCGCGCGCTTCTGGTCTACGACCTTGTGGACACGTCGCCGTCGACGACCTTCGCGGATGCGGTGGCCAAGCTCGCCGCGGCGGCACACGAGCATCCTCGGCTCTTCAACTTTGTGAGTCTGCGCCTCGCGCACCCCAATCCGAGTCTGGACTATGACCAGCTCACGACCGGCGACAAGATCGTGGTGCAGGCGCTAGCTCAGTCGGGCGCCTACGACGTGGTTCTTGCCGAGCACGAAAAGTACGCCGACTTTTTCAACGACGGCGAGTCGGATTGCGCGGCGACGATCAAGCGCTTTCAGGAGGTGCCGGGTGCGGCCCTGCCCGACGTTATCGCGGACCACACCCACTACCTCTCGGCCGAGGCGCTCCTCTTTGAGAAGGCCGATCCGCGCACGGACAACTACAACGGGCCACGGTACTCGATCTTTTTCTGGCCCAAATCCGCACGCATCCTCTTTGTTGACCTTGAGACCGGCGTCAACGCGCTCCAGGAAGCCGTTGGCGGCCATTCGACCGACGATCTTCTCGGCCAACCGTCAATCCAAGCGCTCCTCGACGCCCTCTTGCTTCGGTTCAACGACCGCAGCGAGCCCGAAGTCGGCATGGCGTACGGCCAGAGCCTTGGTGTGTTGTGCGATGTGCTCATCGCGCTACAAGAGCGAGATACAGTCCAGCACCTGCTTCGCGATATCGTTCGGTATACGAAAGACGCCGAGTCGTTCTCGGGCGTCGCGTCGGCCATCTCGTCGCTTGTCGCCTTCTTTGGCTGGGAGACGCTCTCGGTCTCGCTGCACGCCATGCTGCGCCGCTGGAGCCAAAGCGCTCGGGGCCTCCACTTGTGCTACCGCCTCGTCGCCAACTTGGCCGGCGCCGCCGAGTCGCCCATCTGCGCGCCCATTTCGCAGCCGTTCGCGGTCGAGCTCATTGTGTCGCTTTGGTCGCAAATCGCGGCCGAGGTCGAGTCCGTCATCCAGCCCGGCGGCACAGTCATCGTGGAAGACGGCTGTATGGACGACAGTTGTGCGGCTGCTGCGCCCCGCGCCATCTTCCAGTTCACCTTGTTTTTGCAGTTGCACGTGGCCCGCCCCGAACGAGTGCGCCAGCGCTGGCTCTACAACCGCCTTCCGGACCGTGTCGTGGCCCAGATTGCGTCATTTCTCGGGCCCGCCGTGTCTCTGGCCGAGATGGAAGACATGGAAATCTTCGAGCCAGTGCTGGACATGACGCCGGGCGTGGCGGCGGCGATGCGCATCGGTCTGAACCATGGTGCCAACATGGGCTTTATCAACAGTATCCTCGATGCGTACCTTGAAGGGGCCGACGCCGACATGGAGGACAACGTCCACTTTGACCTGCAGCTCGTGTCGTCGCTTTTGGTGGTCGCCGCCGCCGGCAACCGGTTCACGGCCGTGCTGGAACGGCTCACGTTCGATCGGCACTTGGCGCTCGCACCGTCGATGCTGGCGTTTGTGCAGCTCTGGCCCGAGATTGCTTCGCCAAGCATTCGACAGCAGTGCTCGGAGCTCCTACTGGATGCAGCGGGCGATAGTATTGTTGCCAACCAAGGCCGGATCGGCCGGTGCCGGCCGACGCCCGTTCTCAACGCCGTCTCAGCGCTGACGTATTTCGCCAAGTTTGACCGCGTCAACTTGATGACGTTCATGGCCACGTGGCTGGCTGCCCTCGGGCGCGACGCGGTTCAAACGACGCTCGGCGATGTCGTGATCGAGCTGCACACTCGAGTTCCGTCCGAGGCCCGCTTGATCTCGCGGCTCGCGCGAGTCTACTTGGCGGACGTCGCCAACGACGCAACGGTTCCGCGTCTCACCGACTATGCGCTCCGCAACGTTGCCGTGCCGGCGTGCTGCGACCACTGCAGCGATTTTCGCTCGTATATCGAGGACCCGGTGCGCGTCACGTTTGCGGTTGGCTGCTGGAACTCGTGCGACCGCCTGCTCGAGGTCGTGCGCCGTCACCCGCTGCAGTTGCAGCTGCAGCACACGACGTCGCCACGTCATGACGAGAATTTTGAGCTCGAGTACGACATTGAGTTTGGCGAGGTCGTCGACGAGGAGTTTGTGTGCAAGGTGCGCCAGCCAGGACAAGTCACGGCCTCGGAGCTGCGCGAGCATTTCGCCCGCCAGCGCGCCGCCACCGAGCGCGCGGAAAAAACGCAGCGCATCACGGCCATTCGCGACGCCGTGATGGCCTCCATGATGGCCCACGACGCGTCCGAGGACCACCGCTGGTAGCCTTTTTATGTTTTATGATTTCTAAAGTCGAAAGCGCTCGCCTCCGAGTTGTACTGTTTGTGCAGCGGGCTTGACCACGAGTGAACGTTGGCAGACCAGCGCCTACCCTCGCGCGCTGGTTTTGCGCCCAGGGAATAAGGACTAGTTATGTTGCCCTTGGTTTGCGCAGGTAGTGCTGACACGTAGTGTCTCCCAAAGCCCGAAAGGGAGAGGGTGAAAGTGTGGCGAGGTCCGTTGCTGCCGCGAAGACCCGTTCACGCCCGAGATGTGCCCACGCCTTGCTCAAATTCGCCTAAAAAGTACTCGTCTCCATCCCAGCGCCACAGCCATGCCACGTCATGACCACGTTGGTTCCTTGCATCAAGCACCAGCCAAACGCTTGACAACGAAATCCTTCAGAGATGCAACCCAGTCTCGCTCCAATGCGCTTGGAGCTTACGAACACATGGAAAGAATAGAGCCGACTTGTGTACCTGGCACAGTGGCTATCTACGCAGGCGACATTTTGTACCAGGCTATATATGAAAGCAACGTCATTGCGGCAGCTGCTACGATGACTCGACTGCCTTCATGCTCTTGGCGTACCGCGTCAAGTAAACCACGGATGCGGCCATCTTGGCGTACAAAAGCAGTCGAGGCAGTACTGGCCCGCGCACGCCTTTTCATCGAGGGGTAGCCTTTCCCAATGGAAAAAGCTCGGCGATGTGTAGGAAGCAGCACATATTTCGATCGCGATTGAAATGCAAGCACCTCGCTGGAACCCTTCGATGAACGCGGCCTCCAAGGCCAAGCCAGGACCGACCACGTCGGCCCGCACGACGCGCGCCGCCTCGGCTGCCTGCACACG